CTTTCAAAAGCCAATAGGAATTGCCCAGGCTGTCTCTGCCCTGCTGAGCCCGCCAAAAGTTCCATTCTGCAAACGGTGCTGCACCAGTTGAGTAGTCCTCGACTTACGACCGGTTGAGTAGTCCTCGACTTACGACCAGTTGGGGGTCGCGGCATTAAAAAGGTTGAGAACCACTGATCTAGAATTACAGAAAAACAAAGTTGGAAGGGACATTGAAGGTCTTCTAGTCCAACCTCTTGTTCAAGCAGGAGACTCTACCATTCTGGGCAAACGCCTTTCCAGTCTCTTCTTAAAAAGCTCCAGTGACGGAGCACCCACCCCAACCTCTGGAGGCAAGTCGTTCCACTGGCTGATTATTCTCCACCATCAGGAAATTCCTCCTAATGGCGAGAACAATTAATCAGTGGAACTGCTGTTTCCGAACTAAATCGAAACACACCTGGAGAGACACCCACCTGAGCCTTCAGGCTGAGGGCATCAAAGACGGTGACTTGATTGCCACAGCTGGCCCACACGGCGTCATCCAAGGTGAGCAGCGTCCGCACTGGGGCCAGCCCCACCGCCAGGCAGGTGGGTTCAGCTTCGGCATCCCACAGTCCTCCTGGCACAAGGAAGAGAAAAGTGGATAAGACGGAGGAGAAAAGCTTTTGGGGAAGGCCAAAACAGAAGAATTGGAAGGACGCCTTTTCAACGTCTACAAAGTCCAATGATTTTGGTGACCTCAAACTCACTTTCAACGCAAGCTAATTTTCACGGAAAACCCAAAGCTTTCTCTGAAGCCTGCCCACCTGGTTCCAGAACTCAGAAGACTGCTTCCTCCAGTCTTGAAGTTTTGTTTTCTCACTTTGGCACCAAAACATCCTCAGCACTGCAGATTTTTTTGTTTTTTGTTTTTTTACTTTACTGGACCACCAGCCCGCTCTGTTTAAAATTCCTCCTGTTTATTCTCTTCTCTTCTCTTCTCTTCTCTATTCAATTCCATTCCAATTTCTATTCTATTCTATTCTATTCTATTCTATTCTATTCTATTCTATCCTATCCTATCCTATCTTATCCTATCCTATGTCTAGTCTAGTCTATTTTTTTGTTTTTTTACTTTACTGGACCGCCAGCCTATTCTGTTTAAAATTCCTCCTGTTTATTCTCTTCTCTATTCAATTCCATTCCAATTTCTATTCTATTCTATTCTATTCTATTCTATTCTATTCTATTCTATTCTATTCTATTCTATTCTATCCTATCCTATCCTATCCTATGTCTAGTCTAGTCTATTTTTTTGTTTTTTTACTTTACTGGACCGCCAGCCTACTCTGTTTAAAATTCCTCCTGTTTATTCTCTTCTCTATTCAATTCCATTCCATTCCAATCCAATCTTTCTCTATTCTAGTCTATTCTATTCTATTCTATTCTATTCTATTCTATTCTATTCCATCTCTCTCTATTCTATTCTATTCCATTCTAATCTCTCTTTATTCCATTCTATTCTATTCCATTCCATCTCTCTCTATTCTATTCTATTCTATTCTATTCTATTCTATTCTATTCTATTCTATTCTATTCCATTCCATTCCATTCCATTCCATTCTATTTTTTTGTTTTTTTTACTTTACTGGACCACCAGCCCACCCTGCTTAAAATTCCTCGTTTATTCTCTTCGAGACATTTCTTAAGAGCAGTGAATCTTTGCAACTAGCACCGTCCTTAATTGATCTGAGGAGCAAAACCCCTTGGACCACTAAATTAAATTTCTCCGATGCTTTCTCCACCGCCGTTCCTAAAACCTCCTTTTCTGCAGGGCCTTTATTGATTTAACACGTGGAAGAAGTGCAAGGCAAACCTTTACCGAAACACCGGCAAGGGGCTTACTAGACGTCTCCCGATTCTGGAGTTCAAAATAAAATATCGCAATCCTTTGCCCTGTCTCTGCCAGGGCTGCAGGTTTCCATGCCACAAACGCTTCTCCAGGGGGTTCTTAATGGTATTTCGGTGGCATTTCTTGAAACACATCCGCGGCTATTGTCAAACACAGACTTATCGTGTGTCACATCACTCCTAGACAACCGTTTTGACGTCACCCCTGGATATAATCAGCTCAGCCATTCTGCTGCCCAAATGCGCGCAGACAATTCAGCCGCACAAAGGACACCGACGTGCGATCTTGTGGGTAAAAGGCAGCACAAAGTAGACTTTCTAGAGCAGTGGTTCTCAACCTGTGGGTCGGGACCCCATTTGGGGTCGAATGACCATTTCACGGGGGTTGCCAAACAACGCAGTCCGCCATTTTTCCCCCTTTTCCTTAGCTTTTGAAAGCCAATAGAAGAGACTCTCTTGAATAGAGTCTAATTCTATTGGCTTTCAAAAGCCCATAGGAATTGTCCAGGCTGTCTCTGCCCTGCTGAGCCCGCCAAAAGCCCCAGTCTGCAAACGGTGCTGCACCAGTTGAGTAGTCCTCGACTTACGACCGGTTGAGTAGTCCTCGACTTACGGCCGGTTGGGGGTCGTGGCAGTAAAAAAGTTGAGAACCACTGTTCTAGAATGACTTTTCCGTTTTATTCAGTCCCATATTTTGCAAGATGCAGACAGATAGTCCTTGACTTATCACCATCCATTTAACGGCTTTGGACCAGTTCTCATACTTACAACCCCCGCAGTGACATGATCACAATCTGGAGAGCTAAAAACTGCTCACGTTTACGACCGGTTGCACGCCCCATCGCACTTTGTGATCTCCAGTTTCTGAGCAGTAAAGTCAAGGAGGTAAACTGAGATTGCGGATGGTGACTGCAGTGATGTCTCGCTTAATGACTGTGAAAAAAAGGTTGTAAAATCGGGAGCCTCCCTTAATGATCACTTGGAATTTTCTGGTCCCAATGGAGGACTATCTATATTTCCTCAGATATTATTATTATTATTATTATTATTATTATTATTATTATTATTATTAAGTTGGAAGGGACCTTGGAGGTCATCTAGTCCAACCCCCTGCTCAGGCAGGAAACCCTATTCCAGTGTTGGAGCATTCACTGTTTCTGCTGCAAGCTGTTCCACTAAATAATTGTTTTCACTGTCAGGAAGTTTCTCCTTAGTTCTAGGTTGCTTCTCTCTTCAGTTAGTTTCCATCCGTTGCTTCTCGTCCTGCCTTCAGGCGCTTTGGAGAATAGCTTGACTCCCTCTTCTTTGGGGCAGCCCCTGAGAGATTGGAACACTGCTATCATGTCCCCCCTCGTCCTTCTCTTCGTTAAACTAGACATGCCCAATTCCAGCAACCGTTCTTTATCTATTTTAGCCTCCAGTCCCCTAATCATCCTTGTTGCTCTTCTCTGCACTCTTTCCATAGTCTCAACATCTTTTTTACATCGTGGTGACCAAAACTGGATGCAGTATTCCAAGTGTGGCCTTATCCAAGGCGTTGTAAAGTGGTATTAATTCTTCACGTGATCTTGATTCTATCCCACTGTGTTGGCTTTTTCGGCATCTCAAACAGAACAAGAGTTTATACCACTAAGAGGGTCTATTTTAGTTCCAGGATCCCTGTGTGATTCTTCAGTCAAATACAACAGCCACCCCAGGTTGCCCTGTTTGTGTTCAAGGTGTAGAGAAATGCACCCCTTTTTTTTCCCAACTAGCAATAAATAAATAAGCTAGTGCAACAGGTTCCTGTGTTGGCGATGCTTCTGCCCCCCTTTCCCCCCCCCGTGCCCTGGGAAGATCTGAGTGGCAGATGAAACTGCCTAAGAGATACAGCCCTCTTCCTCTTTGCCCCAGCACACGCTTTAATTAAAAAACATAAATGGCTTATCAAAAGCTAATTAATAAGAAGCAACGTCTTGGCAAATGCAGCTCGGAAGAGCAGCAGCGTAAACAGGCGTTTATAACCCCGGAACAGAGGGCAGCACAAGCCACAGATGGTGGGAGTTTAATGGGACGTGGAGAGGAATCGCTCTGGAAGAAACGGCGGCGCAGAATTGGGGAAGCGACGGAAAAGAGAGAAAGGGAGGATTAAGCCACACCTGATTAAGAGTGGAAACCGCACTCAGTGCAAAGGAAAACCACATTTTTTGGGGACCAGGAGTACGGATCAAGCAAGAAATAGCAGAATAAGAGATGGGTCTTTGTGTTTTTTTCCACTCTGCTTGCGGCCACTTCGCAGCAAATTGGAAAAAATAACCTTGGAGGGGACGTGCAGGATTTGGGATCGGATGCTAACGCGAATGTCTTCTCTGGGCGACATGGAGAAGTCGGATCAAGACCATCTGAGGTGGCTGATGGATGGCAAGCAAGCTGAGATTTGGGGGAGATATCAGCTCTAAGAGGAAGACACCCCAAAGTGGGCCTTAAAAGGAAAAGTTGAGCTGATACTTGGATTCAAACAACAGCGAGGAGGAGGAGGAGGAAGAGAAGAGAGAAGGGTGACTGTGGGGTCTTTGGTGTTTTCTAAACTTGGTCGTTTTCTTGCAGACGTTTCATTACACAACTAGGTAAAGTCATCAGTGCTATAAGTGGAGGGGGGGTTGCAGGGAGGAGGAGGAAGATTGTGGGGTCTTTGGTGGTCTCTAAACTTGGTATTTTTCTTGCAGACGTTTCATTACCCAACTAGGTAACATCATCAATGCTATAAAGGAGGGGATTGCAGAATGGAAGAGGAGGAGGAGGAGGAGAAGGAGGAGAAGGAGGAGAAGAAGAAGAAAGAGGAGGACTGTGAAGTCCTTGGTGTTATCTGAACTTGGTCGTTTTCTTGCAGACATTTCATTACCCAACTAGATAACATCATCAGTGCTATAAAGGAGGGGATTGCAAAGTGGAAGAGGAGGAGGAGGAGGAGGAGGAGGAAGAAGAGGAGGAGGAAGAAGAGGAGGAGGAGAAAGAGGAGGAGAAAGAGGAGGAGGAGAAAGAGGAGGACTGTGAAGTCCTTGGTGTTATCTGAACTTGGGTTTTCTTGCAGACATTTCATGACCCAACTAGGTAACCTCATCAGAGTAGAAGGGAGTGGGGTTTGCAGAGAGGAGGAGGGGGAGAGAAAAACCCTGGGCATTTTGCATCCGTGAGTCAGCCTGCCCTGATCACCCCCACATTTCAAGGGGCGCAGAAAGGAAAGTTCGAAGAGAAAGCAGAGATAAACAACAATAAATATTTCGCACGAACCAAAAGGCCGCCTCGCCAGACGCGCACGACACGGGCGCAAGTCAGGCTGGCACAGACCTACCAACTCCAGCCTGTCTGGGCAGATTGGAGCCGCCAGCTGAACGCAAAGGTGAGTCTTGTTTGGCCTTTATTTATTTATTTTTTTTAAAATCCAGCCGAAGCTGACAAAGGAGGAGAATTAAACCCAGCTGACAGGCTTCAACGGGAGTAAAACAGCCAGCCTCCCCAGGGCTGGGGAAAACTGACAGCCGATCAATAAAGAAATTACGGAGCTTTCAAACCCAGGTTTTTGTCTCGGGACCCAAATTCCAGGCGTCGCGTTAGGAAAGCCAATTAACGCTAAGTATTTTGGGTGTCTGCAGGGACGCAGCGCCCCCCCCCCTTCCCTCCGCCTTCCCCAGCTACAACAAGCAGGAAATTAAAATAGATTTTAAATTAATTAAAAGCACCTGGAAACAAAGTGGGACAGAACCCTTCCCTGGAGAGAACCTCGGGGGGGGGGGTTGTATGTGTTTGTGTGTGTGTGTGTCAGACAAACACAGAAACTTGATTCTTGAGGGTCTCTTCAGATGCCTCTTGACCAGTTCGCAAGGTAGTAATAGACCCACAAATAAATTTAGGACAGGTATTCCTTGACTTACGACCACCGTGGAGCCCAAAGTTTCTGTTGCTAAGCGAGACACTGGTTAAGGGACGTTCGCCCCATTTTACGACCTTTCTCGCCACCATTGTTAAGCGGATCACCACAGTTGCTAAGTTAGTAAGACGGATGTTAAGTAAATCTGTTTTCTCCCGTTGACTCTGTGTCAGAATCCAATTATATTTCATCTCTAGTTATCGACTATGGAAAACCCCATTTCTGCCCTCTCTGGATTTTGTCATACGATGAAGGGAAGGAGATGAACAAAGGGGTTTTATGGCCCTCACTTCCTTCAGTACAACTTCAAAAGGGACTGAATGTGGGTACCACCAAAAGGACTAACCATAACAATGGGGCCATCAGCTTTCATCTACTCCCCTCTGAAGTCTCCCTTCCTCTGGCAGTGAGGAAAAAGGGGGTGGAAATGTAACGCCTGGGATTGTCACTGGAAGGATGGTGGGGTGGGGTGGTGTTGCTGGGAACCCCTTAAAACCTTGAACCGTAGGGCGTGGCCCCCAAGTCCTGTCTAGAACGCCTGCAACCATTTTCTCTTAATAAAGATACCTGTTGGAAGAAATATTCCAAGAGTTCTGTCTTCTTAAGATGCAAAGTGGGCTGGGTCCTTACACTCTGCTTTTGTCAGTAGGTTGTAAAAGGGGATCAGGTGTCCTCGGGACACTGCGACCGTCATAAGTACGAGTCAGTCAGCAAGTGTCTGAGTGTTGATCACATGATCCTGGGGTCGTAAGGGTGAAAAACGGTCAGACGTCGCTTTTTTTTGTGCCCTTGTAACTTCGGTCACTAAATGAACTGTTCCAATTCAAGGACTTATTGTAGCACCCTATTTCCATAAAAATAAGACCTACCCCAAAAATAAGCCCTAGTTTTGGGGGGTGGCACAAACTTAAAAATCAAGCTAGGGTGAGGGTGGGGGGGTGGATCTGCCCCATGTGCCCCGCACCCTCTCATCTTGCAGCCAGGCCCCTCCTCGCCGGCTCACTTCTTCTGCGGCATCTTCTGCAGCCAGGCCTGCATTTCTGGAAAGGCCATTGCAGCCAAGAACCGAGCTATGGATTGAATCCATAGCTTGATACTCAGCTGCCGAGGCCTTCCGGAAAGGCCTGACTGTGAAATGCAGACCCGAATGCAGCTGCAGAACTTCGGCCCCAGAAGAAATGGACCGGTTGGGTGGGGCTGTCGGTGCAAGGAGGTGAGTTTAAAAAAGACATCACCACCCCCAAAAGTAAGGTCTGGTGCCTCTTTTGGAGGCAACAAAATAAAATAAGACCTGGTGTTATTTTCAGGGAAACACGTGTGTGTTTTGGGGGGGGGCAGTATTTCTAAAACAGACTTAGAGGTGTCAACATGGTGGGTTGTATTAAGTCCAAAGTTCTCCACTGCTTCTCAGACAGACTTATAGAAATGCAGCTCACTTTGCTTAGTGACTGTTCTAATTTATGCCGGACCTTATTTTCCACTTATTTTCGCATCTCTAGTCTCCCAGAGAGGATCGCTGCCAGCCCATTATGGATAATTCTTTGGCTGATAGACTACAAGAAAACTTAAACTCCAAGTCTGTTTGTTTTTAAACTCATCTCCCAATAAGCCACTGGTTGAACAGGTGGATTCCGAATTTTGGAGCAATCGCCGCGCAGGTGAATCTTTCAAGGGTTGGAAAAAGGACTTTGGAGGAAATGCTGAAAATGCACCTAGAAGGGAGGGCAGAAAAGGTGCCGGCACACGAAGTGACGCTTAGCCTCACTCACCATGGATCCTGGCGTACACCGCCACCGTCCCATTCTGCAGGCCGGCAAAGAGGTAGTCGGCGTTGTGCTTCAGGCAGAGGACCGGATGGGCTCCAGGGGTCCGGCTGGTCAGCAAACACTGGGCCCCTGTGTCCAGGCTGCCATAGGCCAGGATGCTGCAGAAGGGACAAAGCGACACTCCCCTTAAAAATGGCATCATGAGCCAGAGGACCGTTTACTAGCACTGAAAGGGCACCCCCCACTGGCTGACAAGGGAACTGCTGGGGTAGCTCCATCCCTTTCATTGGAATTAAGATGTTTACTTGGCCAGCACTCAGGACCACTCCTCTGAACACGTGCAGAGTGCTTCTCCCTCCCCGTTCCAGGGGTTGGGTGGAGGGAGAGGAGAGTTTGAAATCCTTTGATCGTCAATCAAAGGTCAGCAGCATGAGTCATCTGTAGGGGAGTCCAGCCCTGGCATTCAAAGGGACCGACCCCCAAAAGAAGGCTAAACAGACAATGTCACAATGGGGAGACCCGCACAGACACTAGGGCAGTGGTTCTCAACCTTCTAATGCCACGACCCCATAATACAGCTGCCCATGTTGTGGTAACCCCCAACCACTTATACATCACCGGGTGCCAGGGGCGTGGCCAAAGAAAAGGGGGAAAAAATGGCAGACAGCCTTGTTTGGCGACCCCCATGAAATAGTCGTTCGACCCCAAATGGGATCCCGACACACAGGTTGAGAACCACTGCACTAGGGGTTTCCCGATTCTCCCACCCTCAATTATTTCCGGGACCCCCCACTCTATCTCACCTGCCGTCTTGCAGGCCGAGGCAGAGGGCGGGCTGAGGTGGGAATGGCTGGTCAGCCGGGGTTTGAGTCTCCTCCGCTCGTTCCTCTTCGACCCTTTCGGGGATGTATTCCAGGCAGAGGACCCGGGAGGCCACCTGGAAGGACCTGACCGTGCGAGGCACCGACCGGTTCAGGGAAAATATCTCCACGTGGCCCCCAGCCCCCTCCTGACCTCCTCCAACCTAGAAGAGCCAGAAAGAGCGGGCACTGCCTTTCAAACAGGACTACACTGTTATCACCTTGTTGACCAGGACTGTCAAGTGAATTGTAAGGTCGTTAAATGAGTCATAAGGTGTTAAGTAAAAGGCAAGGTTGTTAAGCGGGTCACATGGCTGTTATATAAATCACGAGGTTGTTATGTGAACCATAAGGTCACTAAGTGATTCACACGGTTTTTAAGTGAACCATGAGGTTGTTATGTGAATCACATGGTTGTTAAGTGAATCACAAGGTTGTTATGCAAATCATAGTCATTAAGTGAATCACATGGTTGTTAAGTGAATCATGTTGTGCAAATCATGTCATTAAGTGAATTACATGGTTGTTAAGCGAATCACAAAGTTGTTATGTGAATCATAAAGTCACATAAAATGCACGCTGGTTGAGGAATTCTGGGAGTTGAAGTCCACAAGTCATCAAAGGGCCAAGTTTGAAGACCCCTGGTATAGACTCTCCTGCTTGAGCAGGGAGCTGGGCTAGATGATCTCCAAGGTGTCCCTTCCACCTCTTTATGTTCTAGCTCAGGGGTCTTTAAACTCGGCCCTTTGATGACTCGTGGACTTCAACTCCCAGAATTCGTCAGCCAGGCATTCTGGGAGTTGAACTCCACAAGTCATGAAGGGGCCTTAGTTCCTCCACGCTGGCTGAGGCATTCTGGGAGTTGAAGTCCACAAGTCATCAAAGGGCCACGTTGGAAGAGCCCTGCTCAAGTCATTCAGATTTCCCTTTCGGATGTCTTCTCCTTGCAAAGGAGATGAAAGCCGATGCAGAGGCCTGGATAGATGTTGTCTTTTGCACAAACTCACCCAAAGATACCCCTGTGGCAGAGAAGTGCTGATGGCGGAAAATCCCAGCAAGGGAGACTGGACCGGGCTGTGCACAGCCGCCCCCAGCTGAATCCGTTCCGAAGGGGAGAGAAAAAGAGAGAGATAGAGAGAGAGAGGGAGAGAAAAAAAAAAAAGAGAGAGAGAAACAGACCGGAGAGTTATTGGACGGGAAGCATTTACAACTTTTCGAAAACAAGGGATGTCAAACCCAACTTTCCAAAATGATATCTTTACCGCCCGTCTCTGAAAAAACAAAGGCAAGGAATTGTTAAAGAACAATGGCTAAAAATACATCTGGGGAACAACAGAATCGATCAATGGAAACACTCAATTAAGGAAGGCAGAGCCCCGGGAGAAGGGGCTGAGTGGGGAAGGAAGAATAGACGGCTAAAATTAGCCTCTGGAAACGAAGTGGGGCACAACTGCCTGGAAAGCGGCAGATGTTCCAAAGAAAGGGAATGGGAGGGCATAAAAGTCTGATTTTTTTTTAAAGGTAATTATGTGCCTGCTTTCTCTTTTTTTTCCCCAGCTGAATCTGTTTTTCTTCCACCTCACTAGAAAAACAGAAGCCAGGAGAAAAGGAATCAGTTAGGAATGCTGGGTGAAAACTTGCACTTGGGAATTGAAAATGTCCTTCCTTCAACTCAATATTCCTTCTTTCTTTCTTTTTACTTCTTTCCTCTCAATATTTCTTCTTCTTTCCTTCTTTGTTTGCTTCCTTCCTTCCCTCGGGATGTTCCTTCTTTCTTCTTTCTACTTCCTTCCTTCCTTCCCTCCCTCCTTTCCTTCCTTCCTTCCTTCCTTCCTTCCTTCCTTCTCCCTTCCTTCCTTCCCTCCCCCCTCCTTCCTTCCTTCTCACTTTCCTTCCTTCCTTCCCTCCCTCCTCCCTCCTTCCTTCCTTCTTTCCTTCCCTCCTTCCTTCCTTCTACTTTTCTTTCCTTCCTTCCTTCCCTCCCTCCCCCTCCTTCCTTCCTTCTCACTTTCCTTCCTTCCTTCCCTCCCTCCTCCCTCCTTCCTTCCTTCTTTCCTTCCCTCCTTCCTTCCTTCTCACTTTTCTTCCTTCCTTCTACTTTTCTTTCCTTCCTTCCTTCCCTCCCTCCCCCTCCTTCCTTCCTTCTCACTTTCCTTCCTTCCTTCCCTCCCTCCTCCCTCCTTCCTTCCTTCCTTCTTTCCTTCCCTCCTTCCTTCCTTCTCACTTTTCTTCCTTCCTTCCCCTCCTTCCTTCCTCCTACTTTTCTTTCCTTCCTTCCTTCCCTCCCTCCCCCTCCTTCCTTCCTTCTCACTTTCCTTCCTTCCTTCCCTCCCTCCCTCCCCCCTCCTCCTTCTTTCCTTCTTTCTTTCCTTCCTTCTCACTTTTCTCCCTTCCTTCCTTCCTTCCTTCCTTCCTTCCTTCCTTCCTTCCCTCATTCCTTCCTTCTCTCTGAGGATTTTCAGTGGAAGGTTCAGAAAGAGAGGGAATAAAAAATCCAGATCCTTCACTGAAGGCAGATTTTAAATTAAAAAAAAAAAAAAGGAATTTGCACACATCAGCCTAGCATTTCCCAATTTGAGAGTTCTGGAGGTTTTGCAGAGGTATAAGCAGAGTCTCCTCTCCAGAGGCAAGTAAATCACCTCAAAGCGAGACGGGCAGCAAACAAATCTAATTAAAAATAAATAAATAAACAAATAACAACAACTGTATCAACTCTCCTGTCTATCACATAGTTTGGGGTACTTAGGCCAAATCACACTAGCATTGCATTTAGCCCAGAAGGTGAACTAGTCAGAAGATGGAACTTTGGTGGAGAAAACTAAGTGCTTCTGCAACTTAGCTTCGGCATGTCTGGGGAATCTCACACCCAGCCTCCCCAAATTCAATTTTAGGAGCAGCAAACGCAGTTAAGTCTCTTCCATGAAGTTCTGCAAAAACACATTGATTTTTCCCCCCTCTTTCTGCCTTCAAAGTAACCTAGGAAAGCGAAATCAAGAAGGGACGAATAGAGCCGAAAACCTCTCCCCAAAAACTAAAATAAAATCTAAACTAAGCCCTACCCATGCCTCCTTCAACAGAGGTGAAAAAAGGAGAGGCAGCTTTGAAGATCCAGGGAAACCTGGAAGGGATTTTTAAGTTCTCCGGGACCGACAGAGAAGGACACTGGCACAGACAAAACGCTTTGTAGATGGATCGTAATATATTTCTCACTTAGAAGGAGGGGGAGAGAAAAGGATGGGATTAAAGCTGTAGATCAGTGGTTCTCAACCTGTGGGTCGGGACCCCATTTGGGGTCGAACGACCATTTCACGGGGGTCGCCAAACAATGCAGTCCGCCATTTTTCCCCCCTTTTCCTTAGCTGTGCTACTCCCTTTTATTCTATTGGCTATTGAAAGCCAATAGAATAGACTCTCTTGAACAGAGTCTAATTCTATTGGCTTTCAAAAGCCAATAGGAATTGTCCAGGCTGTCTCTGCCCTGCTGAGCCTGCCAAAAGTCCCATTCTGCAAACGGTGCTGCACCAGTTGAGTAGTCCTCGACTTACGACCGGTTGAGTAGTCCTTGACTTACAACCAGTTGGGGGTTGCGGCATTAAAAAGGTTGAGAACCACTGCCGTAGATTATCAAAAACATCAAAAGCTGCAACTGGATGGATGCAGGGCAAGGAGAAGAACAGCTAAATTACTGGGGGGGGGGAGGAAAATAAGGGGGAGGGGTGTCTGCCATCCTGGAGGCCATCCTTCAATTAGCCAAAAACAGCCTTTTGGGGGGCCTTAAAGAGAACAAGTTCCATCAGCAGCTTAAAAACTGGGCTATTTTTTTTTTTTTAAAGGATAATATTTAGACCCTCTTCAGAAGAGGCCCAGTTATGTGGGCCTCTGCTAAAGGGCTGTAGGGAGGTTTTTTGTGGCTTTCCCAAGAGATGTGTCTGTTACAAAAGACACAGGTTGACTGTCTATGGAGATTCTAAGTTATCTAGGTCATGGCTGTCTCAAAGGTGCTTTTTCCAAAAGGCAACTAGACGTCTTTCTTTCTTTCTTTTTCTTTCTTTCTTTCTTTCTTTCTTTCTTTCTTTCTTTCTTTCTTTCTTTAATTCTTTCTCTTTCTCTCTCTCTCTTTTTCTTTCTTTCTTTCTTTGTTGTTCATAGTATGTTTAGGTGTGTGTCATGTATGTGTTTCACTTTGAGAGCTGGGAACTAAATTTCATTTTTGATGTGTGCCATTGTGCCCACAGTATAAAAATGACAATAAAGGTTATCTTATCATATTCCAAAGCGCCTGAAGGCAGGACAAGAAGCAACGGGTGGAAACTAATCAAGGAGAGAAGCAACCTAGAAGTAAGGAGAAACTTCCTGACATTGAGAACAATTAACCAGTGGAACAACCTGCCTCCAGAAGTGGTGAATGCTCCAACACCGGAAATCTTTAAGAAGAGACTGGACAGCCATTTGTCTGAAATGGTGTAGGGTTTCCTGCCTGAGCAAGGGGTTGGACTAGATGACCTCCAAGGTCCCTTCCAACTTTACTACTACTATTATTATATCATCTTATCTTATCTTATCTTTCTTTCTCCTTCCTTCCTTCCTTCCTTCCTTCCTTCCTTCCTTCCTTCCTTCCTTCCTTCCTTCCTTCCCTTCCCTCCTCCTTCTTCTTTGAGAAAAACAGCCCAGCTGCCTTGGGAAAAAGCACTTTGAGACACAGGCTGATTCTTCCTGCTTTACCAGGCCTGTTTTTCCAGCATCCAGCAAGGTACACACAGCCAGCTGAAACACACACCGATGGTGACGTGTTGGGAGTTGTGTGGCTGTAATAAATCTGAATAAATAATAATAGTGGCCCCTCACCATCACCACCATCCACTGGTGGTTTTCTGAGGGCTTTCACAGGATTGATTATTTATTAAATGTAGGTGGCCTACCTCTCTGCAAAGCGACTCTGAGCAAGTTACCAGTATTGCAAGGGTCGCTATACAATCAGTCTTTGACCTATGAACATAATGCAGCCTGACTATTGCAGTCTCCAAGTCTTGATGGTCATTAGGAAAGGTAAGTAGAGGGGGCACTGAAGCGTCCCTATGGTCAGTTGTAAGGATGAATGACCAAGGAGGCACTGCAGTAGCTGTAACTTTAGAACTTGCTCATAAGTAGCTTGGGGGGGGGTTCCTGTAACTTCAAATGGTCATTAAGCCATCAGTTATAAGTTGAGGACTACCTATAATGAAGTAGAAGAAGATGGAAGTCCTTGAAAAGATGGTCAGAAGTTGGCCCTTGGGGTGGGACCAGTTTGGTGTCTCCTTACCTGCAGGTCGAGGGCCCTGGAGGAGAAGGCAGGGATATGACAGACCAAAATGGGACACCAGAAAGCAGCTTTGCTCTTCTTGTCTTCTTCAGGGCAGACCCATCCAGGCTGGTTTTCTTCCCCTGCAGGGAGACAGAGAAGAGTTGGAAAATCTCTTCTCCCAGGGTGAGGTTCAAATGTGCCCTGTGACCTTGGCTAACATTCAACTTTGATCAACAATCTTAGTCAACAGTCAACCTTGGCCAACAATCAACCTTGCTCAACAGTCAATCTTGGCCAACAGTCAACCTTGACCAACAGTCAACTTTGTTCATCAGTCAACCTTGGCCAACAGTCAACCTTGGCCAACAGTCAACCTTGGCCAATAGTCAACCTTGGCCAACAGTCAATCTTGACCAACAGTCAATCTTGACCAACAGTCAACCTTATTCATCAGTCAACCTTGACCAACAGTCAACCTTGACCAACAGTCAATCTTGTTCATAAATCAACTTTGGCCAACAATCAACCTTGGCCAACAGTCAACCTTGACCAACAGTCAACCTTGGCGAACAGTCAACCTTGACCAATAGTCAACCTTGACCAACAGTCAATCTTGTTCATCAATCAACTTTGGCCAACAGTCAACCTTTTTCATCAGTCAACCTCGGCCAATAGTCAACCTTGACCAAATGTCAACCTTGGCCAACAGTCAACCTTGACTTAACAGTCAACCTTGACTTAACAGTCAACCTTGGCCAACTGCCCATCTGTGAAGCAAAGTAGAATGGGAATATCCTTCACAGAAGCCTGGAAGAGCCATCTGGGTTGTGCTAGCTGTGGATAACAATGATAAATGTTCTGACTGCCCCCTCCTCAAATGCACAGAAGGGACCACAGATAGTCCAGCAGCCCAGAGCCACAGCTTGCTGATTTTAGAAGCATTCCAGTAATGTAGCGTTCCCCACACTGTGCTCCTTGCAAAGGAGGTGAATAATTTGATTCATAGGGGTTTCTAGGATTCCTTAAATGAAGGTTGACCCGTGATCTTTAGAACTACAGACACACTCAATAACTAAAAAGAAGACCAAGATGGGAAGGAACTGTCACACCAGCTCTGTGTCCCCTGTCCTCTCCTGCAGCTATAAAAGTGTGGGAAGTCTCATTTATTAATTATTTTTATTTATCAATCAGATTGATAGGGCCGTCCATCTCTGCAAAGGTGGTATTTTCATCCATTTTTAAAAAGTCTTTCTGTTGTAAAAAAGGAAAGATGTAGCAGTGTTTTTATGCCAGTGGTTCTCAACCTGTGGGTCGGGACCCCATTTGGGGTCGAACGACCATTTCACGGGGGTTGCCAAACAACGCAGTCCGCCATTTTTCCCCCCCTTTTCCTTAGCTGCGCTACTCCCTTTTATTCTATTGGCTTTTGAAAGCCAATAGAATAGACTCTCTTGAATAGAGTCTAATTCTATTGGCTTTCAAAAGCCAATAGGAATTGTCCAGGCTGTCTCTGCCCTGCTGAGCCCACCAAAAGTCCCATTCTGCAAACGGTGCTGCACCGGTTGAGTAGTCCTCGACTTATGACCGGTTGAGTAGTCCTCGACTTACGACCGGTTGGGGGTCGCGGCATTAAAAAGGTTGAGACCCACTGTTTTATACGATCTAGATATAATAGGATTAAGGACTGAATCGGTGTTATATTAACAGCATACGGGGTGGGTGGGTTTCTTCCTAAATTCTCATTTTCCCCCCCTCTTAATTTTCATTTTAATGTAGTGTTTCTCAGCCTTGGCAACCTTGAAGTTGCCAGAGCTTCAATTTTCAGAACTCTTAAAGTTGCTGAGATCGGGGGGAAAAAACCCACACCGCTTTAATATATGTAGCTCCTTATCGTATTATCATTAATGTATTATTCTTTTATCTGCTACACTTCATTAATAAAATTTAAGCAGACTGGATTGCTCTCCCCTTGTTTATTTGCCACACTCCATTAATAAAATTTAAAACAGATGAAGCAAATTAAGTCTCCCTTCACCTAAAGTTATCTCATTAGGGCAGGCAGGCAGGCAGGAAGGCAGAACAGAATCCAAGGAGACCCCCTAAAAGTCACAAACTTTTTATCAATTTCCTTGTGGAATATTCTGAGGGGGGGGGGAGTCCCATCACTCATGGAGAGGTAAGCAATTAATTTCTCTTCTTTGCCAAGTATCTTGGGAGTGGCTGCTCAGCACTTTAATTACAGAAAATATTAAAATATAAGCCATTAAAAAAGCCACTTACTGAATATTTTAGCAGGGAATCATACATGATAATCATGTTAACAGCTTTTTCCAAAGCTTCTGCAGAAATAGTTCTCAACTTACAACTACAGTTGGGACCAGAATTTCCATTGTTAAATAACGTGGTTGTTATTCAGGGGGTTGCGACCGATTTTATGATCACGTTGGCCATGGTTGTTAAGCCAATCACTGTCCGTCCTTCCTTCTCTCCCTCCCTTCCTTCCTTTTCCCTCCCTCCCTTTTCCTCTTCCTTCTTTCCTTTCTCTCCCTTCTTTCCCTTCCCTCTTTCCCTTCTTCCTTCCTTCCTTTCCCTTCCTTTCCTTTCTTCCTTCTTTTCCTTACTTTCTTCCTTCTTTCCCTTCCTATCCTTCCTTCCTTTTTCCGCTTCCTTCCTTTCCTTCCTTCTTTTCCTTCCTTTCCTTTTTTCCCTTCCTTTCCTTTCTTCCTTCTTTAATTTCCTTCCAACCTGGCTTACAAAGAAGCGTTGAACCCAGGAATAAAAGTAAGCAAAGGCGATTTTACTCACGGAGAGCGATTTTGGCCAAGTGCAAATAATTCACCCAGGAAATTTTGCTGAGGGGGTTCGGGGTGATGAAGACCACCATGACGCTCACTGGACGGCCGGCCCTGTGTTAAAAAATAAATCCCCAAAAAGAAAGATGACAACGTGAACACAGAAATCCAGGATGGTATAAGGGCAGGGGGCTGGACTAGATGGCCTCCGAGGTCCCGTGCAGCCCTAGGATTCTAAGTCTCCTTTGGCTCGGGTGTGCTTCCTCTTTTATTAATTAAAGGCAGAGTCTCGCTTTTTAGAAAAAAAAGGAGAGGCTACTACAGACAGACCTCGGCTTACGTGGCCGGAATTTACATCACTAAGCGAGAAATTAGCTGAGTGAGTTTTGCCCCATTTTATGACTTTGTTTGGCCACGTTTGTGAAGCGAATCCCTGCAGTTGTTAAGTGAATAACCGGTGGTTAAGTGAATCTAGCTTCCCCCATTGACTTTGCTTGTCAGAAGGTCGCAAAAGAGGATCGCGTGACCCCCGGGGACGCTGCGACCGTCATAAATGTGAGTCAGTTGCCCGCGTCTGAATTTTGATCACGTGACCCGTGGGGATGCTGCAGAAGCCGTAACAGTGAAAAACGGTCGTAAGCCACATTTTTTTCAGTGCCGTTGTAACTTAGGACGGTCACTAAATGAACTGTTGTAAGTCAAGGACTACCTGTATTAAATCTGGAGTTGGGGAAGGGCGAAGAGAGATCACTTTAGGAGGAACGCTGATTACCCCAAAGGTTCTCTTTGCACGGATAAAGAAATATTAAAGCAAGGAGAATCAGGTAGGGGTCACTTGTAAATAGCAACAGCGCTTAGACTTATATACCACTTCACGGTGCTTTCTAGCCCTCTCTAAGCAGTTTACAGAGTCAGCAACTTGCCCCCAACAATCTGGTCCTCATTTGACCGACCTCGAAAGGATGGAAGGCTGAGTCAACCTTGAGCTAGTCAGGATCAAACTCCAGACTGTGGCAGAGTCAGCCTGCAATGCTGCATTCAAGCCACTGTGCCACGACGGCTCTTACATAGCAATAGCCCTTAGACTTATATACCACTTCACAGTGCTTTACAGCCCTCTCTAAGCGGTTTACAGAGTTAGCCTCCTGCCTCCAACAATCTGACTTCAGAAAGATGGAAGGCTGAGTCAATCTTGAGCTGGTCAGGATCGAACTGCTGGTAGTGGGCAGTCAACTTGCAATCCTGCATTCTAACCACTGCACCACCACAGCTTCCTTCCTTCCTTTTCCTTATTTTCCTTCCTTCTCGTTTTTCCTTCCTTCCTTCCTTCCTTCCTTCCTTCCTTCCTTCCTTCCTTCCTTCCTTCCTTCCTTCCTTCCTCCCTTCCCAAGCAATAAGACTTATATACCGCTTCACGGTGTTTGACAGCCCTCTCTAAGCGGTTTACAGAGTCAGCAACCTGCTCCCAACAATCTGGGTCCTCATTTTACCGACCTCGGAAGGATGGAAGGCTGAGTCAACCTTGAGCCAGTCAGGATCGAACTGCCGACAGAATTAGCCTGCAGTACTGCCTTCTAACCACTGCGCCACCACAGCTCAAACCAGGCAATGCCCAGAAGGAGAAAATAAAAAGTGTCCATTATGGTCACAGGGGACCTCACACAGCTTGAGGGCTGGTGGGTCACCCACTCCTGGCTTTGGTGCAGCAGCCGCGGAGGGGTGAACTGACGCCGGAGTCATGGGTGGGTGGGCTTTGAACATCATTATGGGTTCTCCTGAGCCACCCTTAGGAAATGAACTGTCCCACCTACTTGTCGGGTTTCCCAGGAAGTAAGAGACGGAGACGGCATTTGTTGGCCGAGTGGATCTCTTCCTCCTTCACCCTCATCATCCTCTGCAGAGCTAAGCACCAGTCCTGGGCCACAGTCATGTTCAGGTTCTAGAAGCCAGGTGGAAAAAAAGAAAGAAAATTAATTCATCAAAGTGCGTATAGTCCAGGCCGTGGTTTTCCCAGTTGCAATGTATGGCTGTGAAAGTTGGACCATAAGAAAGGCCGAGCGCCAAAGAATGGAGGCCTTTGAACTCTGGTGCTGGAGAAGACTCCTGCGAGTCCCCCGGACTGCAAGGCGATCCAACCGGTCGGTCCTGGAGGAGATCAACCCCGACTGCTCTTTAGAAGGTCAGATCATGAAGCTGAAACTCAAGTCCTTTGGCCACCTAATGAGAAGGAAGGACTCACTGGAGAAGAGCCTGATGCTGGGAAAGACGGAGGGCAAGAGAAGAAGGGGATGAAAGAGAAGGAGGTGGCTGGATGGAGTCCCTGAAGCAGTAGGCGTGAGCTTCAATGGACTCCAGAAGATGGAAGAGGACAGGAAGGCCTGGAGGAACGTTGCCCATGGGGTCGCGATGGGTCGGACACGACTTCACAACTAACAACAACAACACATGCATTTATTCCAAAGAATAAATTAAAAATCCAAGCAGTTGTCCTGAGGAGGAGCTGCAAAGCCGGAAAAGCAGCCTTAAAAGGCCTCTGAAATAACCACATGATGCTACAGCAACTTAACCTCTCTACACAGAGAGGGAGAGATCGGCTTCAACCCGAGGGGGTGTGGGGGGGGGGAGAGTGGAAAGGAGAAAAGACTCAGCTGCCGTGGGAGGGGTTGCTCACAACTTCTGCGTTTCAGATCCAACTTATTTCACATGATTTCAAAACTTTTGTGAAGTGGTGAAGTGCCTTCAGTGGCGTTCAGGTTACTCCGAAATGGACTCACCTGGTAGGTGCCGTGGAGGGTGCTGATTAAAAGAGTGATCTGCTCTACGACAGCCAGGTCCTTCTGCAGATCCTGCAGCTCCTGAAACAGGCGAGGGGGTCCCAGATAAACTTTATCTGAAGGAGGCAAACTTGGATTTTAGCAAACGCCGTGACCAAAGAGTTTCCTTGCCTAGAGGGCACATACTCAACCTTTCTCGGCATAATTACGTTTCACAAATATCTTTTTCTTTCTTTTATTCCTAATACAGGCAGCCTTTGGCCTGCAACCGTTGTCTTAGCAACCATCCAAAGTTACGCTGGAACTATTGGGGGGGGGTACTTATGAGCCAGATCCAAAGTTCTTGGCGACACAGCTGCAGTTATGGCCACACGGCCGCCTTTTACAATTGTTGTGACCTGCAGCCATGATGGACAGGTTCCATTAAGATGTTAAGTTGAGGACTGCCGATACTAGCAAACTCATCATACTGAATCCATCGTAAAGAACGTTACTGACTCTAAACAAAAAAGGATGCTCTTTGAATTTCACAGGGTGCCTCACAGCTTTAAAAATAAAACTCAAGGGGACAGGAATCTCCTCTCTTCAGTTCAGTTGAATGCTGGGCCCCTTTCAGGAGAAATATAATTTCAAAAATAATTTCCCAAGTATTTGACATCTTCCAATTGGACAACAGATGAGAGAGAGAGGAGGGGGGGAGATGATAGATAGATAGACGGATGGATGGATGGGTAGGTACGTAGGTAGGCAGCTAGATAGAGATAGCTATATTATATATGTAGATAGATGGATGGATGGATGAATGGATGGATGGACGGATAGATGGATGGATAGGTAGGTAGGTAGGTAGGTAGGTAGGTAGGTAGGTAGGTAGGTAGATAGATAGATAGATAGATAGATAGATAGATAGATAGATAGATAGATAGATAGATAGATAGGTAAAGAGAGAGAGATGACAGATAGATAGATAGATAGATAGATAGATAGATAGATAGATAGATAGATAGATAGATAGATAGATAGATAGATAGATAGATAGATAGATAGATAGACAGACGGATGGATAGATAGATAGACAGACAGATGGATAGATAGGTAGGTAAGATAGGTAAAGAGAGAGAGATAATAGATAGATAGATGGATGGATGGATGGATGGATGGATGGATGGATGGATAGGTGGGTAGGTAGGTAGGCAGCTAGACAGAGATAGCTATATTATATGTGTAGATAGATTTGATAGCTAGATAGCTAGAGTGACAGATAGATAGATAGATAGATAGATAGATAGATAGATAGATAGATAGATAGATAGATAGATAAATAGGAGATAGGTAGGTAGGTAGATAGATAGGTAGAGAGAGATAGCTATATTATATGTGTAGATAGATAGAGAGAGAGAGAGAGAGGGATGGATAAAGAGAGAGAGAGAAAGAGAAAGAGAAAAGAGAGAGAGAGATAGAGAGAGTTAAAGAAACATAAAGAGAGAGAGAGAGAAAGAGAGAAAGTGTGTTGAATCCGTTTTGAACACATAGCAGAAAAAGGAGAATTTACAAGCTACCTAAGTCGGCTCAAACAGAGCTTATAAAACATTTTGGGGGATATTTGCAACGGGGGCTCCCGAAAGGAAAAAGGATGGGTCGGAGGGAGATTTTTAGGGGTGAACGCCAAATGTCCTGATTTTTTTTACAGCTCGTCCCCCTCCCCTCTCCTCAGCCGTCCGTTTTGAGCCGTGGGAAAAGGAGAGAAATTTCCTTACTATGGGCAGACTGGCTGGGTGGCGCCGGTTTCCTGGAGCCCACGTTCGGGATGGCAATGCCGTCTTTCTCCTTGGCGCTGCACTCCTGCCCCACTTCTAGCACCTGAACCTGGGGCAAGGCTGCATTCCACTTCACGATATACTTGGGCCCCAAAGGGACCAGACTGCTGATCTCTAGCTGCCCCCTGCGAGAAAGAAAGCCCAGATTAAAACAAAATAAAACAAAACAAAAAAACAGAGGACGGGCACGGTCTGCCTTCAGGCCCAATACAACCAAAATGGCAGGCCGGGAAAAGTCTGCAGGACGCGCTTCGCCATCCTCAAAGCACCGAGCGGATTTTGCAAGGATAATAATTCTCGAACTCAGCGCAAGACACCGCAAAGACATGCAAGGGAGAAGAAAAATGCAGCCTTTTTTTTCCCTTCCCAAACTTTTTTAGGGGCGGTGAAGCTTTCTTCCTTACACACCTGGATGGACAGGTGGGACACAAAACAACCCCCCCCCAAAGCCCAGTTTTGCACCTTGAAGGTGGCATTCCTCATTTGCCAGGAAGAAAACAGGAAGTCCTCAAGTTATGACCACAATTGAATTTCTGTACTAAGTCAGGTGGTTAAATGAGTTGCGTCCAATGTTACGGCCCTTTTCGCATGGTCGTTAAATGAATCACTGCAGTATTAAGCGAAACATATGGCCTTTAAGAGAATCCAGTGAGCCCTGGATGTGAAGACCTCCTGGATCACATGACCCTGAGGATGCTGTGACGGTCACAGGTAAAGAGTGTGTTTTTGCGGGTCCGTTTTTTTCATTGTCGTTGTAACTCTGAACAGTCGCTAAATGAATGGCTATAACTTGAGGACTACCTGTTGAATAATCTTTTTTGGGGGGGACTGGAATATTGTTTTTTTAAAAAACACAATAATGCAAAAGAGCACCACAGCTCCCCTTTATGGATGCTACAGGCTCGCAAATCAACACAAAGATACTTCAGCTGCATGCCTGTTTCACACCATGCATTCGCAGCCATTCACACAACCACTGCATCTCTCCAACCTGCCCTTCACGTCCTACCCGGTGTTCACGGGCCTGACGAAGAGAAACATCAAAGCAAAAGTCATTATCTAATTCTCCTCCGAACAGAATTTTGTTTTTTGTTTTAATTTTAAATTCCTTTCGCGTTTGGAGCAGTTGACGGGTTTAATGCAGAGCCCCCAAAAGTTAATTCTTGCTTCTAATTTGCGTACATGTCTAGTTTAGTTTAGTTAAACTAGACATAGGCATTAAACTAGACATAGACATACATGTCTATGTCTAGTTTAATGAAGAGAAGGACGAGGGGTGACACGATAGCAGTGTTCCAGTATCTCAGGGGCTGCCCCAAAGAAGAGGGAGCCAAGCTATTCTCCAAAGCGCCTGAAGGCAGGACAAGAAGCAACGGGTGGAAACTAATCAAGGAGAGAAGCAACCTGGAACTAAGGAGAAACTTCCTGACAGTGAGAACAATTAACCAGTGGAACAACCTGCCTCCAGAAGTGGGTGAAGGCTCCAACACTGGAAGTTTTTAAGAAGAGACTGGCCAGCCATTTGTCTGAAATGGTATAAGGTTTCCTGCCTGAGCAGGGGGTTGGACTAGAAGACCTCCAAGGTCCCTTCCAACTGTTATTCTATTAAGAGGGGAGTAACCTATTCTCCAAAGCACTTGAGGGCAGGACAAGAAGCAAGGGATGGAAACTAACCAAGGAGAGAAGAAACCTAGAACTAAGGAGGAATTTCCTGACAGTGAGAACAATTAACCAATGGAACAACCTGCCTCCAGAAGTTCTGAATGCTCCAAAACTGGAAGTTTTTAAGAAGAGATTTGTCTGAAATGGTCTAGGGTTTCCTGCCTGAGCAAGCGGTTGGACTAGATGACCTCCAAGGTCCTTTCCAACTGTATTATTATTGTTGTTGTTGTTGATAATGATAATAATGATAATAACAACAACAACATGGTTTCGGGTCTTCCTCCCCATAAAGCAGGGGTCTCCAGCCTTGCCAACTAACACTTGGGGACTTCAACTCCCAGAATTCCTGAGCCAGCATGGGGAACTATGGCCCCCTCATGACTCGTAGATTTCAACTCCCAGAATTCCTGAGCCAGCGTGGGGGAACTATGGCTTCCTTCATGACTTGTGGACTTCAACTCCCAGAATTCCTCAGCCAGCATGGGGAACTATGGCCCCCTCATGACTCGTAGACTTCAACTCCCAGAATTCCACAGCCAGCATAGATAGATATGCTGGCTGAGGAATTCTGGGAGTTGAAGTCCAAAGTCTTAAAGTTGCCAAGACTGGAGACCCCGGTCATAAAGCCTCCAACTCTGGAAATAAACATTTTCCACTTTCGAACAACGCACCTGCCTTCTGGAATTACAAGACTTCCCCCCCCCCACACATTTCCGCAAGGAATAATTCTCACAAAGTCTGCCAATAATTCTACCCAGGGCAGGAAATTTAGGTTTGTTCCTCCAGGCCAAATTTACGTCCTGAGAATGCCAAGGACATGCACCAAAACCCCTACCCGTTTTTAATCTCTATTTCTGTTATGACACGTGCTGGAGGACAGCCTCCCCGTGTGCCCTTCTCTCCGTTGACACACAACTCACTTGAAGTTGATGTTGGCGCACACCAGCACGTCGTTCAAAAGAAACACCTTGCGCTCCTTGGATTTGATTAGTTGACCTCGGTCGCTGTAAACGGTCTCGGTTAGGGTCTCGCAAAATAACAGCTGCCGTTGCCCCGAATTTAACAACTGGAGAAGGGGGGGGGGGGAGGAAAACAAAAGTCAAATTACAAAGCGAAAATAGAACCCTTGGCCTTCTCCGAAAAACGAACAGGGCGAAAAGATCTCTCTGCTTTTAAAGGCTATTTTCCCTGGAGGAGAAAGAAAACAGAAAAAAATAGAGAACCGTAGTTCAGATATTGTTGGCGAACGCGGATGATTTAATCACCGTTTGTTAAAGAAGCCAGCATTAAAGACCAAGCCACAAATCACAGGATGCTATTGAATTAATAGAGGTTTTTTTTAAAAAATTATAGGATTGCTTCGCTCAAAGTAAGCAAATTAAGGATGTGTAACGGTTCAGATCCGAAGCAGGTTTGGGAAAATCTGCTTTGAAATGGATCGGCTCAACAGGAGTGCTTGTATTTGCTTAGAGCAGTGGTTCTCAACCTGTGGGTCGGGACCCCATTTGGGGTCGAACGACCATTTCACGGGGGTCGCCAAACAAAGCTGTCCGCCATTTTTTTCCCCTTTTCTTTGGCCACACTCCTGGCACCCGGTGATGTATAAGTGGTTGGGGGTCACCACAACCTGGGGAACTGAATTATGGGGTCGCGGCATTAGAAAGGTTGAGAACCACTGGCTTAGATATATATATTTTCCAGCTTCAAAATCTTTTTTTAAATTTTTTTTCAAGGTTTTAAAAGTTTGGTTCCCTCAAATGTAGCTTCGGTAAAGAGACAGGAAAAGGAACAGCAAAGGAACTGCTTTTATTTGGGATTCCAGCAGCCGTTCGCCCCAAAAGCAAATTTTGTGGGTGCTTAAAACTCAAGGAGAAGGCAATCTCCAGCTCAACCTTCCATTGTAAAGGTAGTCCTTGACTTACAACAGTCCACTTCGCGGCCATTCACAGTCACAACAACGCTGAAGTAAGTGGCTTATGACCCTTGCAGCATCCCCGCGGTTACACGACCAAACGTCGGGCACTTGGCAATTGACTCACACTTATGACGGTCTCCATGTCCTGGGGTCACGTGATCCCCTTTTGTCTCACTTGGCTCAGTTGTGGTCATAAGTCAAGGATTATCTGTACAGTCATCTCAGATCACCTGGACTTCCCAAAACCTTAAGGGTCAAATTCCTCTCTCTGCCTGCATGGCTCTTTCCGTTTGGGGGCACCCCCTAAAATTGTCCCGGAGTCAAAGAGGAACCTCACAGAGTCGATCAAAAGCAAAGCGAGTCGTAAGCCCGTCAGTTGTGTGGATCCTGGAAGTTGTCACTCCAAAGACATCCAGAAGCAGGTTGGAATTGACCCACTGACCCACTCTTCGTCACGCACCTTATGAAGATGGCTGCGGTCACTGATGCTCTTGGTCAGTTGCTGGATCTCAGTCACCTGGTCGGCCAACCTCTTCTGCTCGTTCAGCTTCTCCGCCAAGGTCTCCAGTTCTGTGAGGGCGAGCTGGAGGGACAACCGGTCAGCGTGTCCTTTGGGGGTGTTCTTCAGCATATCCTGACAGGAGGGAAGACAGAGCACAAGTCGGAAGGGTGGTCAACTGAGGGCCATCTGAATTCCACCCCAGATGTTTCCTCAATGTGCCAAGCCAACCCTTTCCCTCGGCTTGGCACAATCTAGATCCACGTTCCTCAACCTTGCAGACTAGAAGATCGGTGGGTTTCAACTCAAGCTGGCTGGGGAATTTGGGGGAGTTGAAGCCCACCCGTCTAGAAGTTCTTCCAGGATTCGGGAACCCAAGAAAACAAAAAAAAATGGTTACCAGGAGCAGAAGGATAAACTGGGGGAATCTCTGAATGGGCTTCACCATCAAGCCATAGAGGGTGACGCGGTCAAGGCTGGCCATCTGTTTCTTCTGCAAAAAGGAAGTTATAATTGCTTTTGTTTTTCATGTCTCTGGACAGTCTCAGTCATGCAGGTCATGGTTGTCTCAGGCACTTTTTCAGCACCTTTGTGGGCAACTGGACTTTCTTGTTTTTTTCATTGAAAATGTTTCCCTTCTCATCCAAGAAGCTTCATCATCTCGACTGGATGGTAGCGAATGGAAGGATTTATATTTCTTGCAGACAGCTGGTCATTTGCATTCTTTCAGAGAGTCGTTGAGGCCACTTGGAGATTTATCTGTGTCCTGAGGGTCAGCTGAGCGGTGCAAATGGGTGTGGAGCTTTCTTGGAACTACTGAAAGGACTGTGTTGTAGACTGGAGGGATAGGACATCCTCTATCTCCTGCCTACAACACAGCCCTTTCAGCAGTTCCAAGAAGGCTCCACACCCATTTGCTCTACTCAGGTGACCCCGAGGGCACAGATAAATCCCCAAATGGCCTCAAGGACTCTCTAAAAAAAGGCAAATGACCAGCTGTCTCCAAGGTGTATAAATCCTTCCATTCCCCACCATCCGGTCAGAGCTAAAGAAGCTTCTTCAAAATGTCTTCAAAGAAAAACAAGGAAGTCCAATTGCACCTTTGGGACACTTCTATTCTTCCTTCTCCAATGTGTATGTGGGGCTTTCATTGGGGCTGTCACATCTCAACACAGAAAGGCTTGTCCTGTTCAACGTCAGCTCTGCTATCAACAATCCCATCAACAATCCCATCTTGCCAACTGAACGTATTCAGTGTGGATTAGGGTAAACCATTATATACTCTACAACTCTACCCTGAAGTGGGCTTTGGATCCAGGAATTCTTCAACTGCATCCAACTTTCCATATCCCTCCACTGTTAACAAAACAAGGACCTTGGATTAACCGAGCAGCAGATTAGACCCAAATTATTCATTTTTATACTACTAAACTCAACGGCAAAAAAAAGGCAAACACAATTTTTCGTTATCCCCATTAGATCCTCGCAGTGGATTCGTATTCAAATGCAATTTAGCTGCAGAATGGATTAGTTAAACGAAGCCAATTATCTTTCCCACGTAGCCGTCGAAACGCCGTCACGATCTCAATAGCTGAAACTTCAAGGACAGGAGAAGACTTCTTCATCCATTGAGCTTCTGAGACAACGATCATACATCTGGAGCAACCAGGATGATGGATAGTGCTCTATGAGCACTAAACTAAGAATAAGCCCTTGGTGGGTCTGCAACACAGTCCAGGGCCTTTTGTGAAGTCCATCCTTCTTACCTTGAGGAACTCCAAGAAAGCCGGTTTGGTCAAGCAGGCCTTCTTGATTAAGGACATGGCACTGGTGAAGTTGTTGACATATTCACTGTATACATCCAAGACCATGGACTTGGAGAACTTTGGAGAAGAAATGGAGGACAGTGTCAGGAGCTGCCTCAGATCCCAAGAGATCCCAAGATTCACTTCCAGAGTCCCTAGAAGGCCTGGAGAAGTCACATCTTTTGAGGTGGGCAGCCATATCCACGTCTAATCATTGCTCACCGAGGCCACAAAGAGGTCACCGATCTTCTCCATGGAGTCCCATTCAACCACCCGTGAAGACAAGGCGATTTGGAACATGGAGTGGCACTGGAGGATCTCTTTGACCCGGAAGAAGACCACTTGGCATTTCCTGGCACTAAGGACTTTGGGCTCCATCTCCATCAAGGGGTTCCTGTAATCCTGTTTGGAAGAGGACAGAAGATGCCATTGATGACCTGGCCACCTTTTGGCTTATCGTACTGATGTGCAGGTACTCCTTGATTTACAAGAATTTGTTTAGTGAACGTTCAAAGTTACAACGGCATTGAACAAAGTGACTTATGACCATTTTTCACACTTACGACAGTTGCAGCATCCCCATGGTCATATGATCAAAATTCTATATCTGTACTATCTGTATTTATTCTCGTTGTGTTCTTTTCAATAGTTCTGTTATTTTACTTCTGTTCTGTTCCCAGGCCTATCGTTTTGGTAAACCTTAATTATTGTGAGCCACCTAGAGTAGCCTCATAGCAAGTCAATACATTTAACAAATAAATAAATAAAGATGAGAAAATGCCCAATTTAACTCATCCGTTTGTGGTTGAAAATGGAGAGACAGCTAGGCCTGGACTTTCAACCATTTGTTGACGGACCGCTCAATTTACAACAGTGCTGAAAAATGTCATTTAAAACAGATTCCACATGTGGAATACTGCAGCCAATTGTGGTCACCACATCACAAAAAAGATGTTGAGAGTTTGGAAAAAGTGCAAAAATGATCCAAGGCCTGGAGACCAAAACAGACGAAGAGCGGCTGCAGGACTTGGGTTTGGCTAGTCTAAAGACAAGAAGAAAAGGGGAGACATGATAGGAGCGTTCCAGTATCTGAGGGGCTGCTACAAAAAAGAAGGGGTCACATTATTCTCTGAAGCACCAGAGGGAAGGATGAGAAACAATGGCTGGAAACTGATCAAAGAGAGAAGCAACCTGGAATTAAGGAGAAAGTTCCTGACAGTGAGGGCAATTAACCAGTGGAACAGCTTGCCACCAGAAATTGTGGGCGCTCCATCACTGGAAGTTTTTAAGAAGAGACTAGACAGTCACTTGTCTGAGACGGTATAGGTTCTCCTGCTCGAACAGAGGGCTGGACTAGAAGACCTCCAAGGTCCCTTCCAGCTCTATTCTATTCTAAGATCCTCACATTTACAAATGTGGCACTGACCTCATAGTCACGGCATCCCCGTTCAGGTGCTTGGCAACCGGCTCGCATATACAATTGGCTGGGATGTTGCAGCTTTTTTTTTTTTTTGCCGGTTTCTGACCAAAAACCATGGCCGTTTAGAAGGATGGGTTCATGCTTACAACCAGGGTGTTCACTTAACAACCGCAGATTCGCTGAATGATGCAGGGAGTCACTTAACAATCATCATAAAAATGGTTGAAAATGTGGGCGATTCAACTTAGGACAGAGATTCCATTCCCCAATTGTGGTTCAAGGAATAACTGAATTGATCTTTGCAAGGATATACAACCCTGGGGGTCCAAAGGATGAAGGATTTTGTTCACGTGACCCATGGGGGGTGCTGCGACGGTTGTTAAGTGAGAAAAACAGTTGTAAGTCACTTTTTCCAGTGCCGTTCTTAACTTCAAGCGGTCACTAAATGAACTATTAAGTCGAGGACCGCCTGTATTCCCCCAGGGTTGTGTTCCCGTTGTTCATCTAAGGATCTGACTCTACTTTGTAAATCTAAACCGCAAGGACGGGTAGTCCTTGACTTATAACAATTCATTTAGTGACCATTCAAAGGTACGACGGCACTGAAAAAAAGATGACTTATGACCATTTTTCACACTTACGTCCACTGCAGCGTCCCCAGGTCACGTGGTCAAAATGCTGATGCTTGGCAACTGACTCATGTTTATGATGGTCGCAGTGTGATCCCCTTTTGCGACCTTAGGACAAGCCAAGACAAGGGGGGGGAGTCTCATTCACTTAACAACCGTAGCAAGGGAAGTCGTAAAATGGGTCAAAACTGACTTAACTGTCTCACTTAACAACAGAAATGGGCTCCATTGTGGACGTAAGTCAAGGACTGCATTAGACAGCCAGAATCCCTGTCATCTCGACAAAATGGTAGTATTTCCTGCCTGAACAGGGGGTTGGACTAGATGACCTCCAAGGTCCCTTCCAACTTTATTATTATTACTATTATTACTATTATTACTATTATCATTATTATTATTATTATTATTATTATGGATCATCGCACAGTCAGCCAGATGTTCAGACTGGATTTGGCACTTTTGTCTACCTATCGAGTCCTTACCCAGGACCTGGGATAGGCAGATGTGGATGTTTGATGGTATTACAGGCATCGTCGCAGGATGGAAGCAGTTCCTAGTAAGGCCGCCTTTTGTCAATGCCAATGGTGTTCAAGTGGTGCTCCAGTTGTTTTGGGATTGCACCCAAGGCACCTATGACTATTGGTACTACCCTTGCTTGCTTTTGCCACATCATCATCATCATCATCATCATTATTATTATTATACAATGTGAGATTTGGGTTCCCAAAGGGGCACCCAGAGAGCATCTCTTGTCGAAAAGCCAAAAAAAAATAAAAATAAAAATACGAAATACCTGTAAAATGCGCCTCAGCGAGTCCACGTAGCTTCTCTCGCTCTGGACAATGGAGCCCAGGATGTGACGACGTATGACCTGGGAGAAAGCAGAGAAAACAGAATGAAGCCCGCGGGGAAGCTTGTGGAACTCCCTGCCACAAGGGAGGTCCACAAACTCAGCAGCGCTTGCCTTAAAACCACAACATTTCACCTGGAGGATTGGGTTGCAACCAGACGGAGCCCTTTGCAAAAAAAAAAGAGGTCCCCAAATCCCAAATAAAGAACCCGGTTCAACAAAATTTAGGTTTCGCCGTAAACAAACCTGTTGAGGGCTTAACCCTTCGGGCATCGGCCCCAACTCTGGCAGCTGTTTGGCATCTGAAACGGGGACCTCCAGGAAACCCAGGTCTTCTTCTTCCGAGTCCCCTGAGGACCAAAAACAGGCAAAATAAAAATAAAGGGACGCCTTTCTTGAGTGCGTTTGATGAACGTGGTTAATATTCCCCAAAGCAAAACGAAGCAACGTGGATTAAACTTAAGTGATCTCTAGCAGGGATCCCTCTCCACACACGTCAGCACCCCACATCTCCTTCGCTGACAATCCTTCCAGGTTTAAAACATGCTTCTAGTCCTCAACAGTAGACAGCCAAAGGGTTTGGAAAAAAAACCAACAACGGAAAAATCTGAAGGACATTCAGGCCAACGGCATACCAATTTATTATTCTTATTAGTCTGGCAATTTCAACATTGCTTGAGGGGGTATTAATTGGTGCACTGACAAATCCCAGACTGGGGGGGGGGAAGCAAGCTTCTAATTTTTGCAAAATGAGCTTTCTCTAGCACAGACGAAATTGATGGCGCAAAGTGACTCAGCAAAAGTCCACCCCTTTGGCATAGTTGGCACTGCCAGTGGAACCCAGGAAGATTTCTGGATGGGCAGCGTCTCCAAAACAGAAGTCAACAAAGGAACACGTTTCTGGAAGGGATGCGAACAAAATACAGAGAGGTAACGTCTAACTTTGGCAGCCCAAGCGTGGGCTCCCTTAGGGAGACAAATCAGGAGCGGGCGAGTCTAGCAAGTAAGCCAAGCTGCATGCTTCAGCCTCAGAGGGTGCTGGATGGGAAGTGGGGAGATTTAATTTTGGTTCTTGCTCCATCTGTCTCCTGTGCCAGCCCGTCCCACCCCGCCAGTTCTAAAGAGACTTTGTTGCTCACGAGAAAAAGCAAGTTATAAATAAAATAAAGAACAGATGGCCAATGAATTCATTTCCCCAACTGCAAGTAAAATCCTTGCCAAGGACGACAAAGCAGCCACCAGCCCCGCGGGACGCGGGGCCACCAAGCTGGCTGAATCTTGGCAGAGCTGAACGAGCCCAAAACGGAAACCCCACCGCTCAGCGCAGGACTCAAGGGACCTACAAGGGGAGGGGGGGGAAGATGGGCCAGCTACCTGGCCTTACCTGAGACGGAGGAAGAGGAGGAGGAGGAGGAGGAGAAGTGAACGATCACATAATCCTTGGCGCTCGCCCGATGCCGTTTCCTCCACATCTTATCTGTGGGAGCAGTTCTTCCCCGTCCTATCACTCAACCAGCCCCAAGCTTCCTCTTTCTCAAAACTCTGACTGAAAATCAGTTCCCATTGAGTGGGGGGCTCTCCATCCTTGCAGAAGAGGGTCAGGATACCGGCCAGACCCCAGGGAGATCCAAGCCGGCAGCAGGGGGGGAAAAATGGAGCGTGTGAGCCGCTCGGGGCGGGGTGACGACGAGAATAGCCCGGTGATGGCAAGGCTGACCTTTTCTTCCCTAATTTTGGGAACAGCTGCGTGCCGCACTTGGGAGAGATGCCATCCGGGGAGGCGGCTGAGAACGGAAGCAGCTTGAAAGGAGAGGGGAGGGGAAGGGTCTCCAAAAACATCCTGTTGGGGAAGACCATCTCAGAAACCTCTGGGCTGACCAATCTCGCAGACAAAAACACTGCCCAAAATTTATTCCCACTTTTCAGACCTTGGCCATTTTGTTCAAACAGGGCCCAGGGATTGAGGTGCAAAACAAATAAAAAAACACGCAACGGGGTGTAAATAGAAATGAGAACAAAACATTTCCCCCCCCCCCCAGAAGGAACAAACAAACACTGGGGGCATCCTGCTGTTTGCTCTGGAGATTATCTGGGAGAGAATTAAATCAGGGTAATGGAAATGCTAAGCGAGAAGAGGAGAAAAAATTTGGTTAACCAAGATTTGCAAGCCAAGGGAGCTGATCCGATCTGCAAGGTGGGAGACTCTGCAGAGTTCCATTTCTGGATAAATGCACAGAGGCTACTTGAGATCTTCATCCTTAGTTAACTCACTAATGATCAATCCTGGCTTAGTAGAAAAGAGTCGCAATCCAGACCCAGCAGCCAGTAAGAATAACAGACTTAGGACAGACCGCGGGAATCCAAGTCAACTTTCCTTGGTTTGGCTCTGCTCTCCAAAGGACGGGCGGGCCTCAGTTCTTTCTGTGCTCCCCCACATTCCCTTTTCAAGTCCCCCCTTTTTTCCTAACCTAAATTATTTTGCCTAGCCATGAGCCACGTCCCTTGCCAAATCTGTGTCCACACAATTGCACAAAATAAGACACGAAATGGGTCCCCCCCCCAGGTCTGCTTTCCACAAAGGGCCATTTTTCAGGGATGTCAACTCCCCATCAGCCGCTTAGAAGCAATCACAATGCCACACTGCACACCAAGCCGTGCTTTGCTTCCCGGAGGGATCCCAGCTGGATCCGTACCTCTCTCTGCGGAGAAGCTACGGACCACGGCAATGTCCCCGGTCCAGGAGAGAGACCGCTTCCTTTCCGGTCCAGAGACCCCAGTGCTTGGCTCTCCATCCGCAGCTACAGTGAAGGAAGGACCACCGTCAGCCGCGCTTAATTCTTTCGCTCATGAATTCACACTTGTTCTCTTGGGAAAAGCAAGTTGGCAGGATCCTGGCACGGTTCCCCTGCTTTGCTTCAAACCCTGAAAAGCTGAGTTTGGGGGTCTTTTTTGGTCTAGCTCAGTAACAGCCTTGTGCTCCCCCCCCCATAAGCCTTGCATTTATGTAATTATACGGATAGATAAAAGAAACTTCAAACGAATGTTAAGTTGAGCTGGTTCCTAATATTGTTTTTTCCCCCTGTGTAAGCAGTTTTTGTAGTTATTCTAGCAACGTTTTGCAACGGTGCCGCACAAAACAAGGAAGTGGGTAAGAAAATTGTGCTGGGATTGAACTTTGAGGGCTGACTGAAGGAGAATCACCCACTCCATCTGTGTTTCTGTTTGTCTTTGTGTGTGTAAGAGAGAGAAAAGGCTCAGGCTGAGTTCTGCAGCTCACATCTCATTATTTATAACATTCTTGGTTTCCAGAAGCAAACTTAGTCTGCAGCAAATTTTCAAAGAGGAACAACACATTTTTAAAAAAATATATATATTTTTTAAATTCAAACACCATCAGAGTTTAATTTACCCAGAGAAAGATGGAAGGAAGGAAAGAAGGAAGGAAGGATGGAAGGAAGGAAGGAAATAGAGAAGGGGAGGAAAGGAAAAGAAAAAGAAAAGAGAAAAAATTAGATAGATAGATAGATAGATAGATAGATAGATAGATAGATCAAAGAAAGAAAGAAAGAAAGAAAGAAAGAAAGAAAGAAAGAAAGAAAGAAAGAAAGAAAGAAAGAGTCTTGTCTCATCTCTGTTTCTATGAGAATTAGAAACACCATTCAAAAACATTCTGAGGGAAAAAAACTTCTTGGAATTAAAGAGAACCCAGAAGTGGCATAAATTAGAGAGATAATTTACTAAACCCACAATAATATACTGGGTTCTTTCACTTGCAGTAGACTCCCCGATGTGCCTGCAAACCAAGTTAAATCTAGAGGGGGATTTTTTTGTGTGTTTCTTACCCAAACCAGGATCACTACTTAGCCATGCTCTATTCCTCAAGCCCAACTATTCACTTTTGACTTTGCAAAGGTGAGATTCGGTGGCTCAAATTTCCAGACAATAAAGAAAACCATCACCCACTGTCTATTTTTGCATCTGGCTGACTGAAGGCACACAGACCTTAATTCTACAAAATTTTGCAAAGAAATTCAGAAAACTAATACAGTATATACCAGGGGTAGGCAACCTTGGCTCTTTTACGACTCGTGGACTTCAACTCCCAGAATTCCTGAGCCAGCCATGCGGAGGGGAAAGGGAGAGGTTTCTAAGCTGAGCCAGGCTGGCTGAGGGATTCTGGGAGTTGAAGTCCACAAGTCATAAAAGGGCCAAGTTTGAAGACCCTGGCTCTAGGCCAGGGGTAGGCAACCTTGACTCTTTTATGACTTGTGGACTTCAACTCCCAGAATTCCTGAGCCAGCCATGCGGAGGGGAAAGGGAGAGGTTTCCAAGCTGAGCCATGGTGGATCAGGAATTCTGGGAGTTGAAGTCCACGAGTCATAAAGGGGCCATAGTTCCCCCATGCTGGCTCAGGAATTCTGGGAGTTGAAGTCCACGAGTCGTAAAAGAGCCAAGGTTGCCTACCCCTGGTATAGACTCTCAAGTCATTTTCCCATCGATTCTATCTTTTAAGGGAAGGGTCTTCAACCGTGGCAACTTTAAAACTTGTGGACTTCAACTCCCAGAATTCCCCAGACACTCAGGGGGATTCTGGGAGTTGAAGTCCACAAGTCTTAAAGTTGCCAAAGTTGGAGATCCCTGCATCTACCCCAGAATACATATATTTTGTAAGATAGCCGATTTTATTGCATCAAAAGTCTCCATTAGCAACCCAACGGCACGTCCAGAGAAAATCAAAACCTTTCAGGATTTTTCTCCTCTTTTTCCCATCAATCACAGGAGTTTCACTAATGCTACAATAAGGGAAGTGATGAAGGAAACAGAAAGTGTGTTTTGTCTAATGACGAAGCGGAGGACTTTCCGAAACAACCCAAAAACTGAAAGAGCCCAGCGTTATTTCGTCCAAATCCTAACTTTTAGAGAACAGATCAGCAGTCATCAATGCAATTGGGCCACTGAATGCACTTTTTACTTTTAATGCTCTTCATAATCTGGATTTTACATTTCCTACAGCTTTGCTGCTTTTCTTTTAAAGGTGCTGTTAAATGACACCAAAACAAAAGTGGAAAAATAATTGTCTCAAGTACAGGCAGTCCTCGACTTACGACCACAACGGAGCTCAAAATTTCTGTTGCTAAACGAGGCATTTGTTAAGTGAATTTTGCCCCATTTTACGACCTTTCCTGCCACAGTTGAAAAACTTCCTGACAGTTAGAACAATTAACCAGTGGAACAACCTGCCTCCAGAAGCGGTGAATGCTCCAACATTGGAAGTTTTTAAGAAGAGACTGGACAGCCATTTGTCTGAAATGGTGTAGGGTTTCCTGCCTGAGCAGGAGGTTGGACTAGAAGACCTCCAAGGTCCCTTCCAACTGTTATTCTATTAAGAGGGGAGAAACCTATTCTTGTCCTGCCCTCCAAAGCACTTGAGGGCAGGACAAGAAGCAATGGGTGGAAACTAATCAAGGAGAGAAGCAACCTAGAACTAAGGAGAAACTTCCTGACAGTTAAAACAATTAGTCAGTGGAACAACCTGCCTCCAGAAGCTGTGAATGCTCCAACACTGGAAGTTTTTAAGAGGAGACTGGACAGCCATTTGTCTGAAATGGTATAGGGTTTCCTGCCTTAACAAGGGTTGGACTAGATGACCTCCAAGATCCCATCCAACATTACTATTATTGTTGTTGTTAAGTGAATCACTGCAGTTGTTAAGTGGGTCACCCGGTTATTAAGTGAATCTGGCTTTCCCATGGCTTGTCAGCTCACAAAAGGGGATGAGGGACACTGCGACCGTCATAAATACGAGTCGGTTACCAAGCATCCGAATTTTGATCACGTGACCCTGGGGAAGCTGCAACGGTTGTACGTGTGGAAAAAATGGTAAGTCACTTTTTTCCCTGCTGTTGTAACTTTGAATGATCACTAAACAAACTGTAGTTAAATCGAGGATTGCCTGTACCTTTTTTCCCCCCTTGGGTGACCCCAAAAATCACCTTGGTGAAGAACGCCAAATAAACCCAGTTACCTGGAATATCTTTCTTATGCAGAAAAGTTCGCATCACCGCAATTTTGGTCTTTTCCAAACCATCCTTGGTGCCGCTTTTCGCTGCTTTCATGAGCTGGGTCATCTGCGGAAAATCAGTTTTAAAAACAAATATAGAAGGCAAGCAGGTGCTGTTGGACATCCTGGCAAAGAAAACCTTTTTCGCTGTTGTTCCCGTTCGGAAAAATAAAGCTCATCCTGGCTTAATGATTGCCACGGAGTCCAGCAACTCTGCCCCTCAGCCAGATGTCCTGTGATTGCCGCAGACTTACGACCTCACAGGGGGTTGTTAAGTGAGACATCAAGAGATTGTGAGATAGTGTGATGGTCGTCAACAAACGTCTGGAGAAGAACTCCTGATGCTGAGATTAAAGAAGACCTATAGTTCCTAACTATAAATAGAATACAGCTAGTCCTCCCTTAATGACTGTCCTGTTTAACAACGGTACATAGTTGCAGAGGTGCTTGGAAAGTAATTTTCCAACTGGTCCTCACAGGTATGACCGTCACAGCTTCCCTGAGGTCACTTGACTGACATTCAAGCGCTAATTCAGCCTGCTAATCTATTTCAGCAGTCTTCAAACTTGGCCCTTTGATGATTTGTGGACTTCAACTCCCAGAATTCCTCAGCCAGCGTGCACGCTGGCTGAGGAATTCTGGGAGTTGAAGTCTGCAAGTCATGAAGGGGCCATAATTCCCCCATGCTGGCTGAGGAATTCTGGGAGTTGAGGTCCACAAGTCATAAAAGAATCGAGTTTGAAGACCCCTATTCTATTTATTAACCTCTTCTTTTCTTTTTTTTAAAACAAATTTTATTGGTTTTCCAGTTTTATATTTGAGTGCTTGGAAAGCAGCATGGTGGCAGTCAATAGTTCAATAACAAAGTCTCTAGTACATATCTCAGGTTTCATTATCAAAAATTCCTTCTCTATTTCCCTTAACATTCAATGTATCATACTTAAATTAATAAATTTCTAACCATGGCAAACTCAATTAACACATTTATCAATATACTTTTTTGCCTATACATATCCATATCCTGTTTTACGTTTTAGCTATTTTTTTCATTTTTAATTACAGTCTTCCAATGTACCTTTAACATCCATTGTATGTAAAGTCCTGGTAAACCAAATTTCCTTTATTTCACTACGCAAAAGTTATAATATCTAAAACACACATATTACTTACTTAAATATATTCACATTCTATTTAATATAGATTTTCTATTTCTTGTCCTAGCACATCACTACTTACAAATAGAGTAGCCTTTATTGTCTCAAATCCATCATCTATATTTTCTGGGCTAAAGAATAGTTCAAGGCTGATTCCTAATAGTTGTTTTCAATTTCCCTTATAAATCTAAGTCCTAACTATTAAGCCAGTTAGTCCCTTACTTATTTTTTTATCATTTTCCAGAATATTTAAATCTAATAATCATATTAACCTCTTTTTTCAATATTTTTCTGGATTTTTCTCTCCTCGCTGCCTAACCCCCACCTCACTGAAGCCCAAAGGAGAAAAGTCTAAATAAGACAGACACAAGGTACAGGATAAAAAAAAATAATATTCTGGTTTTGTTTCTTTTTTTTAGGTCAGTTCTTGCAAAGCAGACAAAGCAGCAAGCCAAGATTTGAAGCCTAAAGACACAGACAGGAACAGGAAATGCAGTTTTTGTCGCACCCCAAATCCGAACGGGAAAGGAAAGAGAAAAGAATTGGGGCTGCAGGGGAAGGTGGATAGTACCTTACAATCGTATCTTTGCTTCAGTTGTTGCATCTCTCTGCCCCCGACTTTCAAAGCCAGGATCTCCCTCTTAGTCCTGGAGCATCTCTCTTTTAGCCTGTGAAGGTCGGGAGAAAGCTGCCACCACCAAAGACACGAACGCCAACGGAGAGGAAAGGGAAAGGAAGAGAGACAGGCACAGAAATCGCGGTGAGCAGCCAGAATCTCAGCAAGCAAAGACGGGGAGACATCACAAAGCAGCGGGTGGCTGGCAGGCAGGCAGCAGCAGCAGAGTTAGAGCATCCCTATGACACCCCCCCCAAGTTGGATCTCGGAGGTGAATTCAAACATCTCCAACAGAGAGAAATTAAGATGCCCTCAAGAGAAAGATCTGACTTCTCTAAGGCAGAGGGGTCCAATCTTGGCCACTTTTAAGAGTTGCGGACTTCTGTGGCCAGGGGGACCTTTGTCCAGGTTCGCCTGGTGCACCAGTTGCGGCCTTATTTGGACCGGGAGGCTTTGCTCACGGTCACTCATGCCCTTGTCACCTCAAGACTGGATTACTGTAACACGCTCTACATGGGGCTACCCTTGAAGAGCGTTCGGAGGCTGCAGGTGGTTCAGAATGCAGCCGCGAGAGCGATTGTGGGTGCACCAAGGTATACCCGCGTGTCACCTATCCTCCGCGAGCTGCACTGGCTTCCTGTGGGTCTCCGGACGCAATTCAAGGTGTTGGTTATCACCTTTAAAGCCCTTCATGGCATAGGGCCAGGTTACTTACAGGACTGCATACTGCCGCATAGTTCCCAGAGACCGGTGAGGTCCCACAGATTGGGCCTCCTTCGGGTCCCGTCGGCCAGACAATGTCGGGTGGCGGGCCCTCGGGGAAGGGCCTTTTCTGTGGTGGCTCCGACCTGGTGGAATCAACTTCCCCCCGAGGTTCGAACTACTCCCACCCTGCCGGCCTTTAAGAAAGCCATTAAAACTCTCCTGTTCCGGCAGGCCTGGGGCTGATGTCCCCGCGGGGGGGCGGGATACGATTGGGACATGCTGTATGAATGTACTTATTTTACTGTTTTATTGTTATATTTATTGTTTTAATTTTGTACGCCGCCCTGAGTCCCTTGGGATTGGGCGGCATATAAATTTTAGAAATAAATAAACTCCCAGGATTCCACGCAGGCTGGGGAATTCTGGGAGTTGAAGTCCACAAGCCTTAAAGCGGTCACGGCTGCATGGCGATCTCTGCTCTGAGGGACCGACAGGCTGTAGCCCCCACGAAGGTGTTGCTTTCCTTTCCGATCTCCGATTACCTTGGGCTGGAAGGAACTTTTGGGCCTGGCCTGGACCACATCGGCCTTGCTTTCGTCCGCCGAATCGTCGCTGTAGCTTTCGAATTCGCTGGAGCTCCAGCCTAGGTCATCGGGCTCTTGTGAGGTGGGCTTGTGGGCCTGCGGGACGTCTTCATAAATTAAGCTTCTCTCTGAATCTGAAAGAAGGAGAGGAGACGGTCAGCCCGGCACGGATGGAGAAAAGGGGATCCCAGAATCAAGGTGCGAAGAAATAATAGGAAGAAGAAGGTGAAACGGAAGGACAGACGTCAGTGGCACAGGATGGATTTAAAAAGAAAAGTGGAATTAAGAGGAAAAAGTTCAGATTATTACCCAAGCACAGGTAGTCCTTGATTTACAGCCATTCATTTAGTGACCGAAGTTACAACAGCGCTGAAAAAAAATGACTTATGACCGTTTTCACAATTACAATCTCCAGAATCAAAATTGAAACGCTTGGCAACTGACTTGTATTTATGACGGTCGCTGTGTTCCGGGGGGGGGGGTTCATGTGATCGTGACCTTCAGACAAGTAAAGTCAATGGGGAAGCCAGATTCGCTTAGCAACCATGTTAATAGCCACTGCAGCGATTCGCTTAACAACGATGGCAAGTTTGTAAAATGAGGCAAAACCCACTTGGCAACTGTCTTGGGCTCAATTGTGGTCATAAGTCAAGGACTACCTGTAAGGTAGAATATGTAGAACTAATATCTAGAACGAAGAAAGAATTTCTTGACAGTTAGAACAATTAACCAGTGGAACTACCTGCCCCCAGAAATTGTGACTGCTCCAACACTGGAAGTTTTTAAAAAGAGATTGGACAGCCATTTGTCTGAAATGGTATAGGGTTTCCTGCCTGAGCAGGGGGTTGGACTAGATGACGTCCAAGATCCCTTCCAACTATTATTATTATTATTATTATTATTATTATTATTGTTGATCATTGCACAGTCAGCCAGATGTTCAGACTGGATTTGGCATTTTTGTCTACCTATTGAGTCCTTTCCAAGGACCTGGGATAGGCAGATGTGGATGTTTGATGGTATGACAGATCTTGTCGCAGGATGGAAGCAGTTCCTAGTAAGGCCGCCTTTTGCAATTGACTAATGGCGAATTTGTCAATGCTGATGATGGTGTTCAAATGGTGCTCCAGTTGTTTTGGGATTGCACCCAAGGTGCCTATGACTATTGGTACTGCCCTTGCTTGCCTTTGCCATATTATTATTATTGTTATTATTATTATTATTATTATTGATCATCGCACAGTCAGCCAGATGTTCAGACTGGATTTGGCATTTTTGTCTAACTATCAAGTCCTTCCCAAGGACCTGGGATAGGCAGATGTGGATGTTTGATGGTATTACAGATCTCGTCGCAGGATGGAAGCAGTTCCTAGTAAGGCCGCCTTTTGCAATTGACTAATGGCGAATTTGTCAATGCTGATGATGGTGTTCAAGTGATGCTCCAGTTGTTTTGGGATTGCACCCAAGGAGCCTATTACTATTGGTACTACCCTTGCTTGCCTTTGCCATATTATTATTATTATTATTATTACTATTATTATTAATCTTCCTAAGTGATACTCGGTCAATTTCTTCCTAGACTAAGCTGAAAGTTTTTATTTAAAACAAGAGGAGAAATTCATAAGCCCGCAAATGCTTATATTCTGTAGTAATGACTAACAAGGAAGGAAGAAATTAAATATGGCACCATTAACTGTTTCCCAAAGGGGCAAAAGCAACATTAAACATCCCTCTCGCTATGCTAAGCGGGAAAAATAAAAACGGGAATTTCAAAATAGAAATCTTCTAATGATAAGCACACTCTTGAAAAGCCCAATAGGGTTTTTGCCAATCCAGGCCAGACCAGCTAGCGTAAAAATTGATTTTTATTCGTTTTCTTTTATGGCTAAAAGAGAAATGTTGCAAATTAGGTCTGAAAATGTTAAGGAATTGTAGAAAAAGCATTGGGATTTGGCAAGAAAATTCCTCTGGCTTCTATAAAAATGGATTAATTGCATGGGGGAAAAACACACAAAACAAAATGAAGTATAAGGAACTGGTGTTTAGCCATGGATGGATTAGCAGAGAAAGGAGAAAATGAACAACAAATAATCTCCTTGCTTCAGCTGAGCATGGCTACATGCCACCTTATAAACTATCAAAAGTTTTAAATAAATAAAGTAGAAGCACTTTTGCATTAAGAATGATCAGACTGCAGGAGGGCAGATAAAAGTCTTCTGAGCATGTTTGGAGTGTGGTTTTTGACATCTGTTCACAGATGGAAAAGAAATTGGGAAATCACAGACCACTATTCAACCTGTAAGGGAAGTCCTGGCGGAGAAAATTCATCTAAGATTCGGAAGTAAATTTTTAAAAAACTGAATATATACTTCAATTCATAAAAAAAAAATGGGGTTGCATTCTAATAAGAGCGGGTAGATAAATAAGCTCAACACCATGGATTTATTTATCCAGAATTATGCACTGGTTCCTCTCCTTTTTTTTCATTTATCATCTCTCTCTCTCTCTCACTTTCTCTCTCTCCTTTCTCTCTCTCTCTCTCTTCTTTCTCTTTCTCTCTCTTTTTCTTTCTCTTTGTCTGTCTGTCTGTCTGTCTGTCTGTCTCCTGATTTTGCTGAATTTTTTTGCAAGAAATCTTTGCCAAAGACCATTTTAGCAAGACCGGTAAAAGAATATTTGTGATAAGAAAGGAAGAATGGTGAAGGAACAGGGAAAGAAAAACGGTGTGATCTTGAGCAAAGAGGAGACGTGGGAAAGAGAGGCGTGGGGTGTGCGCCTACCACACTGCTGTAAATCCAATTTCTCGCAAGGAACATCGTCGTAAATCACTTCATCGTCTGCAGAGGGGAAAGTAAACTGATCACCTGGAATAGAGAACGACACAAGGTAGGGAGGGCAACTGAACCTAGGCTGAATCTGACCACATGGAAGCCAACGACTGCGAAACCGCCATGAGGACTAGAAACTTGGCCTGCTGGAACTGCATGGGGAGCAACTTGGAGCGAGTGATCCGATGTGTCCCACACTCAGCCATCAGTAGAAGACAGGTCTTACCTTGAGATGAATGTCTTCGCTTCCAGCTGTAGATTCGTGTCCCCGTCTGAGAAAAATCTCCATTGCTCACAGGGCCCGCCAATCTGAAACAGGAAGATGGTTTTAAAAAACTGGGCAGGATCCAGAGGTGCTTTTTTTTCATTACCCATAAACCCTTCTCTTCCCAAACCCCAAGCAAGCAACATATTATGGTGTCTTAAAGACGGGCAAACACGGATCAGCAGCTGCTCAAACCGTCCATGTTTTTTCACGGGAATCCTAATTCTCTATCCTCCAGCCAAAGTGGGTTTTTTTGAACTCTGCTGACCTGAAAACCTTTTATGGCATCTGGGCAGGTGTGTCTCAAAGGAAGTAAACTAATGCCATGTGCCAAAATCAGCTAGAATCCACTTGGTAAGGGATCTCGTTATCTTCCTTTAATAATAATAATAATAATAATAATAATGAGGAGGAGGAGGAGGAGGAGGAGGATGTTGGAAGGGACCTTGGAGGTCATCGAGTCCAACCCCCTGATCAGGCAGGAAACCCTATACCATTTCAGACAAATGGCTGTCCAGTCTCTTCCTAAAAACTTCCAGTGTTGAAGCATTCAACGCTTCTGGAGGCAGGCTGTTCTACTGGTTAATTGTTCTAACTGTCAGGAAGTTTCTCCTTAGTTCTAGGTTGCTTTTCTCCTTGATTAGTCTCCATCCGTTGCTTCTTGTCCTGCCTTCAAGCACTTTGGAGAATAGCTTGACTTCCTCTTCTTTGGGGCAGCCCCTGAGATACTAGAACACTGCTATCATGTCACCCTTGGTCCTTCTCTTCCTTAAACTGGACATGCCCAATTCCAGCAATGTTTTAGCCTCCAGTCCCTGATCATCTTTGTCGCTCTTCTCTGTACTCTTTCTAGAGTCTCAACATCTTTTTTACATCGTGGTGACCAAAACTGGATGCAGCATTCCAAGTGTGGCCTTACCAAGGCCTTGTAAAGTGGTATTAACCCTTCACGTGATCTTGATTCTATTCCTAAAGAAGAAATCCATGCCCCCCAAACTATCAGGCATGGCAAAAGGAGCCGTTTTTTCGTTGGGATAAAGTCTCTCCCTTTGTAGCAGGAACTGCTGCAAGGTTTTATTAAACTCTTAAATTGCAGCAGTTAAAGGAAGGAGCAAAAATGCTTGCCCAGGTGTTAAAGCTGCACCGTTTTGCACAAACTTCCCAGCTTACAGAGGGCATGGTTTAATTAGCAGGCAATGGGGGGAAAGGGGGAAAGCCCTGTTGAGGACCCCTCCCCAAAGCAAACCACGGCCCACAATTACTCTCAGGAAAGTGTCACGGAGCATTTAACACACTCCTAGGATCAAGGAGGTTTGGAGGCAGCCCAAGTGCCCCCCCCCCCAAAAAACCCTTATGGGCACAAACACAGCCTACCAAAACTTCCTCCCTCCCCCCATCTCAGCATCTTAATTTAGAAAAGAAAAAGTTGGGGGGGGGATTGTTAGCCTGCCAAGATTCCCTGCAAATAAACCCACAATCACCATCCCAGCTGACTCACAACATGCAGATTCCTTTGAATGGGCCCAGAATTGATTCTCTGTAAACACACACACACACACACACACACACAAATCTCCCACTATCTATAATGCCTTTACTGTTTTTAAGCGCAGCCTCACACTATCTATGTGTTAGTGGTTTCCCACAGAGTTGTGATGCTCCTACTCACCCTCCTATCTCTTTTGTGGTACACACACACACACACACACACACACACACACACACATCTCCCACGATCTATAATGCCTTTACTGTTTTTAAGCGCAGCCTCACACTATCTATGTGTTAGTGGTTTCCCATGGATTGTGAGCACCCTCGTATCTCTTTTGTGGTACACACACACACACACACACACACACACACACACCTCCAAATTTCTGAGAGAGAAAGGAGATAACATTAGAAAAAAAAAATTAATTCCAGAAAACCTACCCAGTAGTTGGCAGAAGTCCTTTGCAAGCATCCCGCCTTCCAGGGGAAGGATATTCAGATTTTGCTTCTCTTGATCAGCCTCCTCTTATGCAGCAATACATAAGGCCCCTCCCTCTCTTTGCAGAGCACTGGGGGGGGGGGGCTGTGAGGAGACAAAATCCTGTTCTCCCCCCCCCCCCAGCATCCTTGTAAATGGAGCTCTTTTTCAAGCCAGCTTCCTCCCATCGCTGGCTCCCTTAATGGACAGTGCCCGGAATTGATCCCAATAAAAGCCACTCTCTGTGGCAAGTGGGAAGAAAGGAGAGCGTGCATGAACTAAGCAATTTTTTAAAAAATTTATTTATTTCGTTAGCCTTTACGTCTGGTCTGGACTCCTTTATCTATGGGAACCAGGAAGCAGGCTCGGGATAATAATAATAATAAAAAATAAAAAATTGGAAGCTGCGCTTAAAAACAGTAAAGGCATTATAGATAGTGGGAGATTTGTGTGTGTGTGTGTGTGTGTGTGTTTACAGAGAATCAATTCTGGGCCCATTCAAAGGAATCTGCATGTTGTGAGTCAGCTGGGATGGTGATTGTGGGTTTATTTGCAGGGAATCTTGGCAGGCTAACAACCCCCACCCAACTTTTTCTTTTCTAAATTAAGATGCTGAGATGGGGGGGTGGAGGAAGTTTTGGTAGGCTGGGTTAGTGCCCATGAGGGTTTGGGGGGGGGGCACTTGGGCTAGGGCAGGGGTAGGGCAAACGGGGTCCCTTTCCTGAATTAATCCAAATGGTTGCAGGAAACAGCAAAAAGCGGGGGGGGGATATCACTTGTTGTTATAACTCCAGGGAAAGTTTCCTAATCTGTTATCACGGCCACCTCTAGACTGGACTAACTCAAAGCGAAATCGACCCACTTCAATTTTGTACAACGCTTGCGCAGGCCAGAAGCCGAAAGAAAAAAATTTTAAGAGCAGAGAAGTTAAACATGGCTGAACAACAAGGAAAAATTCTCATGTTGCAATAAACCTAGATCCACGTAAAAATATACTGCAAAAATCAGCCACCAAACTGAGACTGGTGTTCTTCCTTCCTGCCGCCACTGGGGGGCAGAATGGAGCTTTCAGCATCCTCACGCTTTGCTCGTTCGCAACCATCCAAATATTGTAGATTCATTAAGCTTCCTTCCTTAATTTCCTTCCCATCAAAGACCCCTCCCCTGTCCTGGAAACCCCCATGTCCAGGTATCAGAACGTGCTTCTCAATATCTGCACTACTTTCCTAACCAAGGCCTAATTCCACTGCTGCTAGCCAGGACAGACGCCAATTGTCAAAACCTAAAGACTAGAAGTTTCCCAAAGCAGGTTTGGCGTGGCTGCTCCCTCAAAACTTTGGGGGACCCTTCTATGGGGCGTGCCCACAGCAATAGCTAATTTTCTAGAGGCAGAAAACCCACAAAGACATTACTTTGCACTATGAACCATAAGCAAATTGAGTTTATATAAAACAAGCAAGCCAACATCTTAACTCAAACCAGCTTTGTTTGAATTTGGGGCTTAATATAGACGCCGATTTTGAAATTACTTTGCAAACTCAGCTAGGGAGTTCACACGTGGCACAGCACGGCTTGTTAAACATGGGCTTAGTGTGCATTTGTAAACCTTATGGCTGAAGGAAGATGCACAACTCTCTTTTGACTTTTGGGTTTGGGAAAGAAGTAAAAGCTGTTGTAAAAATCCAGGCACAGTTAGAGGGGAGCAAAGATGCCCTATGACCTTTATCAGGGTCCTTGCTAGAGCTGGTAAGAGTCATAAATTCAAGGATGGTCACAAAAATAAACTGATTTGGCTTTGCTGGTAAAGGAAAATAAACCTAACCAGATTAACCACATTTCTGCAACTTGCATGACTGGACGGGGCCTTCAAAACACCTCGAAGGAGACACATATACACACAGCCAAATGCACCTTAGAGCCCTATATGGCTCTTCCTCATTTTTCAAAAAGTATTTTTATGTGTCATGGCTACTTTTTAAATCCTCCCAGAGATTCAATTTGGAAATATTTGCAAGCGAGCCTTGAGTTCCTCAAGCGAACAGGAAAGTTGTGGAACAAGACTGGGGTGCCTAGGAGACTGAAAACAGGGAAACCGCATTCACACAAGCTCTGAAGCGTATCCAAAGCCATTCATTTGATCAGTCAGTTTTTAGCCATTGCTAGTTTTAGACAGAGCATAGAGTGTCAAAGGAGAAAGAGAAAGAGAGGAGAAAGAGGGGGGGGAGAGAGAGAGAAAGAAGAAAGAGAGAGAGAGAGAGAGAAAGGAGAAAGAGAGGGAAGAGAGAGAGAAGAGAGAGCGAGAGAGAAAAAGAAAGAGAGAGAGAAACAAAGAAGAAAGAAACTGAGAGAAAGAGAAAGGAAGGAGAAAGAAGAGAGAAAGGAGAGAGAAAGAAGAAAGAGAGAGAAAGGAGAGAGAAAGAAGAGAGAAAGAGAGAGAAAGGAGAGAGAAAAAAGAGAGAAAAAGAAGAAACTAAGAGAAAGAGAAAGGAAGGAGAAAGAAGAGAGAAAGGAGAGAGAGAGAAAGAAAGGAGAGAGAAAGAAGAGAGAAAGAGAAAGCAGAGAGAGAAAAAGAGAGAAAGAAAAAGAAACAGAGGGGGAGAAAGAAAGAAAGAAAGAAAGAAAGAAAGAAAGAAAGAAAGAAAGAAAGAAAGAAAGAAAGAGCTTTGAATGCCAGGAAAAGCATTTTTTTTTTACTTTTTGCCAAAGAATGGGACTCTTTTAATACAACTTGCAAGTTTTATTTTAGCAAACCAAATAAACTGATTAGCTAAGCCAGCTACAAAAACCAATAAAACACATTACTCTCCCCTTTATTTTGCCTGTGGCTTAAAATACTTGCCCTATATTTTTTTGGGGGGGGGGGGGGGAGAGAAGTCAGCAACTGATTCTACTATAGGTAATCAAACATACCAGTCGATATTTTTTCACCGGCTACACACAGGCGAGCACTTCACCCCAAATAAAAAACCTGCCAGGTAAATTGGGAGTTTGATTGCTCTGCTTTTATTTGCATTTCAGAAGCCACTCTCAACCACGTGGGCCGTTTCCTTAGCGAAGGAAAGCAACCTATATATCTGTCCTCTCTTACCTGGAGAGAAACACCCTGTTCAAACACCGTAAATTAAACCGCCAGGCCAATCTCTGCCAGGAAGGCCCAGAGATCTCCGGATCTGGTTTCCAAAAATTATTGCCACGAGAAAGAAAAACTTAAGAATCCAGTCTGGGCAAGGAAGGGAGGATGTTAGCATGATTGACTCCAGCTGCTGGATCCATAAAACAAGAAATGTCTGCTAACCTCTGTAGGAGCAACTATAGAGACCCTGCCAGGCTTAACTCTCCCCACCCCCAGTTACAGTAAGAGGACAGTTGCCACAAGGCCACACCTGTTCAGAAACTTTGTGTAACCTCCACACACCCGGTGATTAACCAAGGTAGGAAAAAGAAGGCAGAATTTACTTCTCCAGCCAACAGGCATCAATTTCCTTATTCTGTTTTTTTTTTTTTCTTAAAGTGTAAGTACAAGGAGTCACTTACTCAGCCTGGGACTGCGGATCTCGGCAATCTGTTCAAAAGAGAAAATAACTCCCATCAGTCGGTAAACTGAGACGCATGCCGGAGTGAAGAACGAACAGCCTTCTCTGCATTTTAGTCTTTCTATTTGTCGGTTTCTGGGAAAAGGTGTGATTGTGAATCTGGCTGCATTTCCTGGGTTGGTCAGCTAAGAAGGTGCCCTGTCATACAGGCAGTCCTCAAACTTATGACCAAAAGGTAACTCCAGCACACTGCAACCATCATAAATATGAGTCAGTTGCTAAGCGGCTGAATTTTGATCACGTGACCACAGGGAGGCTGCAACGGTTGTGTGAAAAATGGTCATAAGTCAACTTTTACAATGCTGTCGTAACTTCAAATGGTCACTAAACAAACTGTTGCCAAGTCAAGGAATATCTGTATTGCACTAATTTTTAAAACATTATGGAACTGCATTCTATGTGGGACATATGGTGATTTAAAATCAGGTGATGTTTGAAAGTCTTGGTTAATATTATAATAAGATTCCAAAACATCTGGAGCACCACTTTTAATGCATTCGGCATTGACAACATCCCCAGCGGTCAACTGCAAGAGGCAGCTTAATTTGGAAAAGCTTACATCCTATGACCACACTTTTAATATTATTAAACCACCAACATCTGCCTATCCCAGGTCCTTGGGAAGGACTGGATAAGTGGATAAAAATGCCAAATCTGGTCAAAACATCTGGCTGACTCTGCCACCAACCCTAATCATATTTTTATTGATTGATTGATTGATTGATTGATTGATTAGCCCTTGGGCCATATCAAAGTGCAAAGTTCCAGAAACAAATTAGTACTAAAATTTGATAAAAGCAATTTAAAATGGAATTAGATAAAATACAATTTAAAATTGAAATTGGAGTATAATAAAATGAAATTGGGATAAATTACAGTCTAAAATGAAACGGGAATAGAATACAATAATTTAAGATATAGATAAAATATGATAAAATTATATTTCGGTGTCAACCCTGCAGTTTACCCCAATCAGTCCCACATATTTAACATTTAACAATGTAATATTAATAGGAAGAGGGTCCTAAACAGAATCTGTGGGCAGGAAGACGCAATGACCCCCTACTAATCTGCAAGGCTGTGCTTGCCTACACCCAAGTAAGCACTATTGTGTTTGTTGGGTTTTCTTCCCAGGTAAGTATATACAGAATCAAGGCCAAAAAAAATGATTTTAAAAGTGAATTAAAGGAGAGGCAAGGAATAGAAGGCAGATGAAAAGGAATAAGCTTAAGAGGGGGGAAAAAACAGAGTAAACCACTGTTTCTCAACCCTGATGTCTTTAAAGATGTCTGGACTTCAATTCCCCAGTCACTTGTGCTGGCTGGGGAATTCTGGGAGTTGAAGTCCATAGGTCTAAAAGTTGCCAAGGTTGAGAAACATTGAAGTAGGCTATTTCAAAACAGGCAGTTGAAGGGCACTGGGAACAATAAGATTTTTTTTAAAAAAAAGCAAAAGCCTAGGGGTCTTCCAACTTGGCCCTTTTATGACTTGTGGACTTCAACTCCCAGAATTCCTCAGCCAGACATGCTAGCTGAGGAATTCTGGGAGTTGAAGTCCACAAGTCATAAAAGGGCCAAGTTTGAAGAGAAGCAAAAAGAAACAAGTTGTGCCCTTGAGATGGCTGTATAAATGGGTTAAATTGCTAAATAAAAGCTGATTTGTCGCCGAACGAGGTCCGGACGCTTGCCTCCCGCCGGCCTGCCCTTACCAAGGTGGATGCTGGAATCGGAGGTGGTCAAAGGGACCCGATCCTCCAGGAGTGCCTCCTCTGCATCCCACTGGCCCAATGGCTCCAAGTCATCACTGATGCTGGACCTTCGCCTGGGGGGAGGGTCCTGCAGTGCCCCCTTGATGCCCAGCTCCGTCCTGGCATTGCTCACCACAAGGCGGGTGGCGTCATCCTCTTCGCTGTCTTCAAATTCAAAGGCTTCTCCGGCATCTTCCCCGTCCCCCTCGCTCCCTGCACAGAGAGAGGAAATGTCGTAAATTCGAGCAGAAAAGGCGCTAGTCCTCATTAAACTCTCTTCCGTCCGTTTTTTTAAAGATTGGAGAACGAAGCGAATCCAGACCTACGGTTTCCTGGCTGCACGTTCCTCTGGAGCCCAACTTGTAACGTGAATGAATGCTGCTCAGTTCAACAGCCTTCTGTCCCTTTGCTAATCCGTTTCTTAACCTGCTTTATACAGGCGGTCCTCTACTTACGACTAGTTGGAACCAGCAAAGCGGCTGTTAAATGAATTGCGGCCGATTTTATGACCTTTTTTTTTGCAACTGCAATTATGCAAATCAGGCTTCTCCCCCCCATTGACTCTTCTCATCAAAAGTCAGCTGTGAAGGTCACAAATGGAGATCGCGTGACCTTGGGAAGGTGCAACTGTCGTTAAGTACATGCCAGTTGCCTGAATTTTGATCACGTGACCAGGGGGAAGATGTGACGATCATAGGTACAAGGACAGCTTGTTAGGCTGCTTTTGTCAGTGCTGTTTATAGCTTCGATCGGTCGCTAAACAATCGGTCGTTAAGTCGAGAACTACCTATATACATTTTCTTCTAAACGCGCATTTTTGTTTGAGCGGGCCCGCCTGCCTTTCTCCAAGACTGTTCATGCTGGGAGTTGTGAATCCCAATAAAGAAATAAATTTGGGGGTGCTAAAAAGAGAAAGAAATAGAATCTCCAATAAGGTTAGGGCTAGGTGGCTTTATGAATTTCAATCAGATTGGTGTTTTAATTACTTATTTACAGGTGGGGTTGGTGGGTCCGGTTCTAAAAGGACAAGAGATTTAAAAGTTGATAGCTGCAAAAAACATGTATTTCTTTCAAATATGCGGGGTTACCCCCCCCCCTTCTTGTCTCCTTTTCTCTAGCTCAGCTCGGAGTGAACCGTCCCTGCGCGGAGTTTGGTTTCGTCTGGCGCCCGATTTAGACCAGCTCCAGCTGCCCAAAGACCAGGGATTAAAGCTGGAGTGGGAAAACATTGCGAACGACTTGAGCAAGTAAGCCAGACCACGGAGAAAAGCAAATTTTTAAAATACGTCTAAAGCACAGAAGATCACAGCAAGGCTTAAGTTTAAGCTGCGGGAATGCAAAGGTGGGAGAGTTTTTTTAGCCCCCTCCAATGGGAACCGCATGTTCAGGTAGTCCTCGACTTGCGACGTTTCATTTAGCGACCGTTCAAAGTTACAACGGCGCTGAAGTGGCTTACGGACGTTTTTCACACTTACAGCCATGGCAGCATCCCCGTGGTCACGTGATCCAAATTCAGACGCTGGTTCGTACTTATGACGGTCGCAGTGTCACGGCATCCCTTTTGCGACCGCCTGACAAGCAAAGTCAATGGGGGGGAGGAACCCGATTCATTTAACGACCATGTGACTAACTTAACAAATGCAATGATTCCCTTAACAAGGAAAGTCGTAAAATGGGGCAAAACTCACTGAACGAGTGTCTCACTTAACAACATAAATTTTGGGCTCAATTGCCGTCGTAACTTGAGGACTTGCTTGGTGACTGTTCCGAGTTACGACAGATCCATTTTACGATCACAGGAAGCGGAGGTATACTTTTCTGTAAAAAAAAAAAATGGCCCACAGCGAATAATGCATTTGCTTAACGACCTCCAGTTTCGCTTAATGTCCACCACAAAAAAAAAATGTATGGTTAAGTGGTGTCACACTTTATGACTGGGCTCAAAGATGGTTGTAAATCGGAGACTACCTGTTAAGAAGAAAAATGCACCCTCTATGGTCATTTTATGTTCCGGCGACAATGAGGACTAGCTACTTGTTCTCCGTTTGTACGCAAGCTGAACTCCCTGCAACTGTGGATACAGGTGGAAACAGATATTTTACATCGCTGCGGATCTCCTGGGGGCCTCTTTAGCGTCTGATTTTTTTGCAGAAACGCAACCCGCTGCTTTGCAGGTGATGGGTACCTAGTGATGCCCTTTTGGGGGGCTGGGAAGAGGTCATCTCTCTCTCTCTCTGTCTCCCACACTTTCCTGGGGTTTCTGTCCTCGTTCCTTCCCCAGCCGGTTCCCTAAGGAGAAAACGAAATTACATCTGTTCAGCAGGGATTTTTGCTCTTCTAAAAAAAAAAAAGGTTTTCCCTCAATCCTTGTCCTTATTTTTAAAGCTTCTCTTCTCTGGAAAATAATTTGCAGTGGGCATATACGACTTGCGAGTCGGGGGCAGTGTGCAATCCATGCAGGAATTAGCTAAAAAAAGCAGATATGGCATCTGCGCATGACTTTTTCCCGTGCTTGCGAAGGTAACATTTTACTTTTCAAATTTTCTGCCCGGGGAAATGCATGCCTACATCCACTCAGTCCTTTAACATCCTTAGACTTCCTTGTTCAGAAGAAGGAAGGAGAAAAACCCAGTCCAAAATTATAATAGGTGTCCAGTTTGCACCGGTTTTGCTCAAAAGACCGAAGAATAAAATGACATGTTTTAATTTAATTTGAGGACCTCTGAATAAAGTTCACTCGTCCGATTATTCCAGTTGCAGAGAAGGGGGTGAAGCTGGCTAATCATCACTCTAGTCCTCGCTGAGGCCCCTCCACCACGTGCTGGTGAATGAGACGGCGATGGAAAGGTGCCAGTTCAGACGTTAACCGGGCTTGAAACCTCTCGAGGGCGTTCAAGCAAAGCGCACGAAGGAAACTTAGCACCAGCTTTGCAGTTTGGGGGCAGGCATCGCCCTGCCCGACGATCCACCTTTCCGTGCCAACGCTGGGCGTGGCAGAGGAGAGGTGCCACTGCCAGGGCCAACCTATGTCGCAAGCCGACAAGCTGAAAAAACATGTTTAGCTTCTCTTTTGCCAGATTCCGCAGTGTTTGCTAACGTCTTTGCCCTAAAGTGACAAAAGAACCAGCAAACATGGGTAACGTAGGATTACCCAATTAGCTCTCCAACCACAATATGCTTGGCAGATGGCGGGTAAATTAGCCTGTTTTCTCCCATTGCAGGAACCAGATGGCAGTTAGAAAAAGGGAGAAACCGGGCTAGCTGCGGGGAAGATGGATCGGTTGGCACCCACTAGGCACTTGTTAGACTAAAAAGGCTTCCCGACATCTGCCCGCTGAGACACAGTTTTGGAGGTGCCCAGTTTGGGTGGCACGAGGGCTTCGTGACTGCCTTCACACAACCTCACCCCTCCTGGCTAGTCAGAGAAACAAGCACCGCACCTGCACTCACTAACTACGTTCGTTTTAAATTGGGCATTTTATCCAAATGCGACTTAAAAGTGTCCAAATTTGCAAAAACGATGCTTGAGGTCATTTGGCCTGGCAAGAAGGAGAAATTCAATCTCTGGGCCTTTCCCCAAAGTTTCGCATCTGGCACCCGGCCACAGGTTGGGGATGAGGGAGGGTGTAGTCCAGCCCAGCCGGGAAAGTTACTCAAAACACTTTCCGCCTCCCTTTTAATTCAGTGTGGTCACAAGAAAACGCCTGATCACACCCAAAAGAGAATCAGGGAAAAAAACAACACAAAACATTTTGGCAGCCAAGAATGTGCAGAGTCAACCTTTGCTTGCAGCAAATTGTGGTGAGTGTGTTTGTGTGTGTGTAGGTGTGTGTGTTTTAATGGAGAGCAGAGTCCAAAATTTCACAATCGTCCATCCCAGTTCATCATCCACCCAACTGGGTGGGGGAAAAAAACTAACCAGAGATAAGAGGGCTGGAAGGTGTGTACTGTAATTACAAATTGCTTTTGTGGATGAGACAAATAAACCAGCTTCTGCTTTGCTGTGGGGGTCCAACCACTCAGCTCCTGAAAAGCCCCCTCAAAATTGTTCAACGCCCACCGGATTTGGGGCTGGCCACCCTTTGGGAAGGTCTGTGTTACAAATCCCGGCGTCCTTTCAGATCCTGAAAATAAATTCATGAAACTCCTTATTTTCTCTAGAGACACCCTAAAGAAGAGTTTTGACACTACATGAGGGAAATTCCTAATTTTTTTGTACTTTGGAGCGCCAGTTGCAATTTGTAAACTCCGATAAAAGGGCAATTAACCCAACTGAGAATACAGGAGGCTGTCCTAGGGCCAAGAAAAAAATATTTTGTTTTTTTCTGTAACCACCCAAACTGGTTGCGGGTTTTATGGATGCCGAAGTTTCCTGCTTTTTCCCCTTCTGCTTCCCAATGCTCTTTCCTCTTGTGCTCTTTCCTTAGATTATAACGCTGAAAAGAATGGATTGCATATGAATAAATTTCCAAAACAGTCTGGGGAATTTTTCTTTTTTCGTCCTAGGAAACCAAGCGGAATTTGGAATTATATCCTGTTTCGCTCAACTCTCCTTAGACCAGGGGTAGGCAACCTTGACTCTTTTATGACTCGTGGACTTCAACTCCCAGAATTCCTGAGCCAGCATGGCTCAGCTTGGAAACCTCTCCCTGTCTCCTCAGCATGGCTGGCTCAGGAATTCTGGGAGTTGAAGTCCACGAGTCACAAAGGGGGCCATAGTTCCCCCATGCTGGCTGAGGAATTCTGGGAGTTGAAGTCCATCAGTCATAAAAGAGCCAAGGTTGCCTACCCCTGCTCTAAACTAATAAAGACTACATTAATTAACATTAATTATGCTTTCATGTGTTCCTCTAACTGAGGGGTCTTCAAACGTGGCTCTTTTAGGACTGGTGGACTTCAACTCCCAGAATTCCTCAGCCAGCCATGCTGAGGGGAAAGGGAGAGGTTTCCAAGCTGAGCCAGGCTGGCTCAGGAATTCTGGGAGTTGAAGTCCACGAGTCATAAAAGAGCCAAGGTTGCCTACCCCTTCCTTAAACCGATAAATCTGTTTTCTCTTGTGGTGGGGGAGATATAATTGATAAATGCAATGAGTCAACTATGTATCTGTGGCTTTCAGCTAGTCCTGGACACACAACACTTCATTTAGTGACCGTTTGAAGTTACAACGGCACTGAAAAAAGCAACATGTGACTGTTTTTCACACTTACGACCGTCGCAGCGTCCTCAGGGTCACGTGATCAAAATTCAGACGCTCGGCAACTGTATTTATGACGGTCGCAGTGTCCCGGGGTGATACGATCCCCTTTGGCGACCTTTGGAGAAGCAAAGTCAGTGGGGGAAGCCAGACCCACTTAACAACCGGGTTACTAACTCGACAAAGAAGTGATTCGCTTAACGACTGTGGCGAGAAAGGTTGTAAAATGGGGCAAAATTCACTTAACAGACGTCTCGCTTAGCCAACAGAAATTATGGGCTCATTTGTGGTAAGGATAGGACTACCTGTGTTCAGACTTAAGTAAGCCATGCATCCTGGTGTTTGAATGCACTGGTTTAATGTTTTAAATGCGATTAACTATTAACATTATTTGTTAATATTGTTAGTATTAACTGCAGCTGCTGGGCTAGAGCCCGTAGGATGTTGTTATTAAACAGGAGTGGCATTTTTCACACTTGACCTGGATTGTACACTTATGTGGCGCTTATGTTCGTTCACACCATGCTAAACCATAGTCTGCACCATCATACCCAGTGAAGAAGCATTGGCAATTATTCATTATTTAAGACATTTCCACCATTGGCCAGTGAAAGAATCCTTACAGATGTGTTCAGAAATAAACCTTCAATACTCTTAAGACGCTTCACAGAAACAGACTATTTAAAATTTAAGCATGTTATATAAACATCATTGCATCAAAATAACATATAACAGAAGGAAACGACGGATGAATAGCTGCTTTATATCACTGTTTAACCACACTTTAAGAGGTCGGTGGATTTCAACTCCCAGAATCCCCCTGGCTGAGGAATTCTGGGAGTTAAAGTCCACACCTCTTAAAATGGCCAAAGTTGAGAAAGACGGCTCTTTATATGTTTAGATTTAATAATTCATTAAAGGACTGAGCAGCTTCTATATTAGCATTTAATGGATCTACTTTTATTTTTTAATGATGATGATGATAATAATAATAATAATAATATTGGAAGAGACCTTGGAGGTCATCTAGTCCAACCCCCTGCTCAGGCAGGAAACCCTATACCATTTCGGACAAAGGGCTATACAGTCTGTTCTTAAAAACTTCCAGCGTTGGAGCATTCACAGCTTCTGGAGGCAGGCTGTTCCACTGGTTAATTGTTCTAACTCTCAGGAAATTCCTCCTTAGTTCCAGGTTGCTTCTCTCCTTGATGAGTTTCCATCCGTTGTTTCTTGTCCTTCCTTCAGGCGCTTTGGAAAATAGCTTGACTCCCTCTTCTTTGGGGCAGCCCCTGTTACTCCATGTTCGTTATTCTATTTTTTTTTTCTCCTGCTTTTTTTTCTTAGCACCGCTATGCTTTTGATTCTACTCTTATCCTATCAATTGGATGTTATATTTAACAATAAATGTATAAAGAGAATACATACAGGGAAACGTGTGTAGGATTACCTTCCTGTAATGACTGTAGAATCAAAAGCATGCATGCAGAGATATTTATGGAAATCTGGAGGAACATCCCTCAAGGTGGTATAGGGTTTCTGCCTGAGCAGATGATTAGATGACCTCCAATGTCCCTTCCAACTTTATTATTATTATTATTATTATTATTATTATTATTATTATTGATCATGGCACAATCAGCCAGATGTTCAGACTGGATTTGGCATTTTTGTCTACCTATTGAGTCCTTCCCAAGGACCTGGGATAGGCAGATGTGGATGTTTGATGTTATTATAGATCTTGTTGCAGGATGGAAGCAGTTCCTAGTAAGGCCGCCTTTTGCAATTGACTAATGGCGAATTTGTCAATGCCGATGACGGTGTTCAAGTGGTGCTCCAGTTGCTTTGGGATTGCACCCAAGGCACCTATTACTATTGGTACTACCAATAGTATATTATTATTATTATTATTATTTCCTTTTTATACTTGTACATTCTCCCCCTAGGCGCCCAAAACTTAATTCAAATGGATTCATTTAGCTGAACGCTAATTCTACAATAAATCTCCACCCTAAAAGTGAAGTTTGATCTTCTGAGTCCTATCTAGTCTGTCTTGGAAGTAAAATAATGACGGTTAACTAGCTTTGCAGTCGCTTCTGTTATGCTGATCTGGCACACGGGGATGGCCATTCATTATACAGATAAGTCCTCAACTTTTAATGACCATTCAAAGTTACAGCGGCAACTGGAAAAAAGTGGCTTATGACCGTTTTTCACAGTTACGACCGTTGTAGCATCTCCGTGGTCACGTGATCAAACCTGAGAACTTGAATTTATGACCTCAGCTGTGTCCCTTTTGCGACCTTTGGACAAGCAAAGTCAACAGGGAAAGCTAGATTCATTTACTAACTTATCACCTGCAGAGATTCTCTTAAAGGTGGCAAGAAAGATTATAAAATCGGTCAAAGCTCACTTCACAAGTGTCTCACTTAGCAACAGAAAATTTGGGCTCCATTGCTGTCGTAAGTTAAGGACAACCCGTAATTCTTGGTGAATTTAAATGCAGACTCTGTCTCTACATTTTTTGGGGGGGGGCTCTAGAAGTGAAGAGAAGAAGGAATATTTTGCGGGTGCTAAAGGGGGCACATTTCTCCTTTACCGAAGAGGCGAGGACAAGGAACTAGTTTGGGCTCTCTTGAGGCTATCCATCCGGTGGGAAGTCCTCGCCATGGGCACCCCTGGGCCACCCCCCCAACCTGGTAAACGGATGCAAGCTTTAGTCCGTCGTTCGTTCCCACTCAATTCCAAGATGGGGTTTATTGACACACATACACAGGGTGGTTATATATATAAATCGTTCCCTCGTTTATGCTGATCTCAGAAAGTTCTCTTGTGTCTTGCCTGGCATTTAGGACACTTTGCGCCGTGTTGACCTCGCCGCCCTCTGCCAAACTGGCGTTATGAAGTGGGCTCTGTCTAGATCGAGCTTTTTGATTCTAAAAAAACGGGGGGGGGGGGGGTTATTAGAAGGTTCTGCCCAAGCGTGGAAAGTTAAGATATTTTTCCCCCCAGTGGAGGTTTAAGAAGGAGAAAAAAAAAAACAAAACAGCAAAGTAAATGGGGTGGCAGGAAAGAGAAGGGCAGAAATGTTGAGTGCCAGGGCTTGCCCAGAAAGATGCCCTCTGCCCTGGCACTGCCAAGGGAGCTCTAGGGAGCCGTCCACTTACCCCACGGCTTGGACCCCCGTCTTTGTGGGGAGGCTAGCGTGGCCTGGCGAGGCCGAGCTGCATGATGTGGGCTTCAAATCCAGCCCCCTCCTTCGTCTCCTCTGGGGGTGGGGGGGTTTGCAGAGGGGCTGCCTGTTAAGTCTCCCCTCTTGTGCTGCACAGAGGTGCCTCCATGGCTGGGACAGGGCAGGATCTGGGCTTCCTCCTCGGTGGAGCTGCTCCAGTGGGCCCTCCTCGCCCGTTGCTCCCGGCCGAGGAGGGGAGGGGAGCCAGGACGGAGCCCTCCTCCGCTGCCCACCCCCCCCCCTGCGCGCTCCGTCACTCGCAGCCTGGCCATGGGTTGCCGGAGCATCCAATGGTAGCCGGGCCTCTCCCACTGGCCCCAGAAGCCCTTCGGCCAGCTGAGCGAGGAGGAGGAGGAGGGGGGGGGCAGCTGCAGAGACCCAGACGAGTGTCAGCCCCACGTCACCAGCAGAGGATGGGAGAAGTGTCTGTGTGCCCCACTTTCCCTTGCCTTCCCTCTGTTCCTTCCTTCCTTCCTCTCTCCTTTCTTCCTCCATCTCCCTCTTCCTTTCCTTTCTTTCCCTCCATCCTTCCTTCCTCTCTCCTCCGTTCTCTTCCTTTCCCTCTGTCTTTGTTCTTGTCCTTTCCCCCATCCTTTCCTTCCCCTTACTTTCCTATCTTTTTCCATCTTTCTTTTTTCTCTCTCCCCCTTTCTTTCACTCTTCCTCTTTCTTTCTTTCCCTTCACCCTTCCTCTCTCCCTGCTGACTCTTTCCTTCCACTTTCTCCTTCCTTCCTCTCTTTCTTCCTCGTCCTCCCTTCATCCTCCCTTCTTTTCTCTCTCTCCCTTTCCTCCTTTTACTTTCCTTTCTTCCCCTTCATCCTTCCTTGATCTCCTTTGTTTTCTTCCCTTCGGGCCTTCTTCTTTTCCTTTCTCTTCCTTCATCCTTTCTTCTTCTCTCTGCCTTCTTTCCTCTTTGTCTTCCTTTCTTTGCCCTCTCCCTTCTCTTTTCTTCCACTCTTTCCTTCCTTTTCCTCCCTTCCATCCTTCCCTTCTTCCTCATCCTCCCTTCTTTTTTCTCTTTCCCTTTCTTCCTTTTACTTTCCTTTCTTTCCCTTCATCCTTTCTTGCTCTCCTTTCCTTCATTCCTTCTTTTCCCTCACCCTTCCTTCATCCTTCCTCTCTCTCCCTTCCTTCCTTTCTTCCCATTTCGTTCCTTTCTTTCTCCTTTCTTCTTTCACTCACCCTTCCTTACTTTTCCTTTCCCTTCACCCTTCCTTCCTCTCTCCCTTCTGTCTCTTTCTCTTCCACTTTCTCTTTCCTTTCTTTTCCTGCCTTCCTCGTCCTTTCATTCCCTTCATCCTTCCTTTCCTTCTTCCTTTCTTTTCTCCTTCTCTCTCCCTCGCTTCCAGAACTGGTCAGAAGCATGGAGAAACCCTTACAGCTGCTGCTCCTGATAATAACAACCTGATGTGGTTCTGACTCAGTTTCCCTGGTTTTTCTGGCTTGGAAGCTTGGAACTACCCTAATAAGGATCCTCAGACCCCAGCCAGGAATTTATTACAGGCAGGTGAAGCAAAATACATAAAGGTTCAGAGTAAATAAGGTTCTACCTGCAACCCACGTTAAAAGAACCTATGTAAACTTGATTTACATAGAAGTCACCAAGCAGGATTTGGGGCATGAAATATAAGAGATTTTTCCTTCCTTCCTTCCTTCCTTCCTTCCTTCCTTCCTTCCTTCTCTTTTTCCTCCCTCCTTCCCTTTCTCTCTGTTCCTCTTTTCCCCATCATCTTCCTTCCTCCCTCCCTTCCTTATTTACTTTTTTCCTTCTTCCTTTTTCCCTTTTTTATCCTCCCTCCCTGCCTTTTTCTCTTCCTCTTGTCCTTCCTTCCTTCCTTTATTTCCTTTCCCTTCCCTCCCTCCTTCTTTTCCCTCATATCGTCCTTCCTTTCTTCCTTATTTACTTTTTCCTTCTTCCTTTTTTCCTTCCTTCTTTCCTTCTTTTTGCTCCCTCCCTGCCTCTTTCTTTCTGTTCCTTTTCTTTCTTTCCTTCCTTCCCTTCTTTTCCCTCATATCTTCCTTCCTTTCTTCCTTATTTACTTTTTTCCTTCTTCCTTTTTCCCTTTTTTATTCTCCCTCCCTGCCTTTTTCTGTTCCTTCTTTTCCTTTCCCTCCCTCCTTCCTTCTTTTCCCTCATATCTTCCTTCCTTTCTTCTTTCCTCCCTCCCTTCCTTATTTACTTCTTGTTCCTTCTTCCTTTTTCCCTTTTTTATCCTCCCTCCCTGCCTCTTTTTCTGGTTCTCTTTTCCTTCCTTCCTTTCCTTCCTTCCTTTCTTCCTTCCTTTATTTCCTTTCCCTTCCCTCCCTCCTTCTTTCCCCTCATATCTTCCTTCCTTTCTTCCTTATTTGCTTTTTCTTTCTTCCTTTTTTCCTTCCTTTCCTTTTTTTTGCTCCCTCTCTGCCTTTCTTTGTTCCTTTTCTTTCCTTCCTTCCTTTCTTCTTTATATCTTCCTTCCTTCCTTCCCTTTCCTTCCTTTCCTTTCCCTCCCTCCTTCCTTCTTTTCCCTCATATCTTCCTTCCTTCCTTCCTTCCTTCCTTCCTTCCTTCCTTCCTTCCTTCCTTCCTTCCTTCCCTCCCAAGAAAGTTCTACTGACTACCCAAGACTTACTATCAAAACAAACTTATTTCCTGGCTGAGAGAGGGACTTTCCACTCTTCGCAACCCGTCTGGCCACGGATGACCCCTTTCCCAGCCTTCCTGCACGTGGACCGCCACCCCACGCCAAGAAGGAAGTCTAGTATTTATCGGCGAGATAAAGCAACACGGCTCTAAGTGACATAATAGTTTCAAGAGATTCTTCCTGTCTGGCATTCAGAAGCACAAAACAGCTGCTGCTTTAGGCAAAATTACTAACCCCGTGAACCCTCAGGAGCCTGGGAAGATAAAATCTCAGGGAGATTTCTCTCCTGCTTTATTTTATTTATTTACTAAATTTCTATTTTAGTAAATCCTAACAATCAAACAATGGTAGTTCTCGACTTATGACCACAATTGACCCGAGAATTTCTGTCGCTAAGCAAAACATTTGCTGAATTCGCTCTGCAAACAGTCAGCGGTGACCCGTTCATGCAGGAAAAGCTGGCTCACTGCTGCCATCTAGTGCTCACGTGGAGTCTTGCAACCCTGGTCTACTAAAGAAAGTGTATTTTTATTGCTATTGTTTCTAACCGTAGATCCCTGCTTATTTTTCATTTGAGATCACCTATTTTAAACTACAGCTAGTCCTTATGATCACAATTAGCCCAGAAAGTCCCGTTGCTAAGCGAGACACTTGTTCAGGGAGTTTTGCCCCCTTTTACGACCACAGTCGTTAAGCGAATTATTGCAGGGGATAAGTTGGTAACCCATTTGTTAAGTGAATCCAACTTCCCCCGTTGACTTTGCTTGTCAGGAAGGTCGCAAAAGGTGAATCACGTGACCCTGGGACATCGTCATAAATACGAGACATCTGAATTTTATCACATGGGGATGCTGCCTCGGTCGTTAAGTCTTATATTTGGGGAAATATGGTACTACATGCATCCATCTGCATGCCAATCTTAACGGGTTTATTTTTGGGGTAGGGCTTATATTACGAGCATCCTGGAAAAAATCAAGCCAGGGCTTATTTTCCGGCTGGATTTTATTTGGGGGATAACACAGAAGTAGTTAAAGTTTCAAATAATTCCTCAAAAGTCTTTAACTTTTATAAAAAGTCAAACCAGGGTGAAAACAGGTTTAAAAATAGGTTAAAATGGGTTAAAAGTAGGTTAAAATGCAAGGTTTAAAAGGGGTTAAAAAGTTAAAATAAAAATAGAATAAAATAAAATAAAACCTTTTACTTTTGGAGGAGCTCCTTACAGTCTTTGCTGCCTGTTCATCATCTTGGCTCTTCCCTCTTGTAAAAAATTATTATTAATCGGTGAGTTCCTAACCCACCCTCAATTCTAACTACCCCCCTAAGCTTTTCTGACACTTCAAAACTATTTTTTCCCCCATCCGTCCCTATGACTATTACCAGCTTCTGTGATAAGATTATTACAAATATCACCAGACAGCAGTCTGAGCACCAACTACAAAAAGGGCTATGATGTTTGCTAACTTTAAAAAATAACAACTCTAGTCATCGTTATCTCTTAGAGAAAAGATCAGAAGGGATTCCAGGACATCTTCTGAGACTCCAATTGGTTAATCCTAATCGAGCAGTGGATTAGAGTTAGGGTCCTCACTATTCTCTGAGCTTGGTTGATGTGTTATGGATTATGTGTTCCCAAAGGAAGGAAAGAAGAGTCTTTAAGAGGTTTTGTAAGATGAAATGAGAGGAAGGATCACACAAGGGCTGGCAGACCTTCTTGAACGGCGCTGCTTAATCTGATGTGTCCGCGAAAAAAAATAAAAAATAAATCAGAGCTTCCATCTTTCAACATCCAAATCTTTTAATGGGCTTAAGGATTTAAACCAGATCGGTTTAGGTCTCTTTGCTTGATTTAACTGCCACCAATTCCTGAAGGTTTTGGGGTGGGAAAGGAAGGATACAAGCTTGAAAATACACTCCTAGAACTTTCCAAAGCTTCAAACAATTATGAAGTATGAATTTGCTAGATTAATAGAAGAATTCATTTTACTTTCCTTTTGGGAGTGAACCGTTTTATGAATCCTCTCCCCATTTCCTGGAGACCCATGTGGTCTTTTAAAGCCATTGTGGATTGTATAAACCATCATGCCAGGTTCATACCACACCCTGGGCAGACATGGGGTGACCTAAGACACTTAGCAGAAAAGCTCCATTGAGGTACAAGTTACACTAGTAGAATTTTTAATCTCTTAGCTGTTTTTAAAGACAAAATAGATAAAATAATCTCAGTAGCTGACTTGGACAATCTCTTTCAACTTTTCAACTTGGCCTCTGTTTTTCATTGTTTGTTTTTCAACAGGACACCCTTTTTTAATATATATATACATATACACATACATACATACATACATACACGTAGGTCTTTGATTATTCGGGTTTTCTCCTGCGTCAAATTGGAAGTGTCTTGGCGACGTTTCAACGAAGTCTCATTCGTCATCTTCAGGCTAGTGTTTTCGGCTTCGTGCTTCTAGGAGCAATTTGCAATTTGCTCCTAGAAGCACGAAGCCGAAAACATTAGCCTGAAGATGACGAAATAGACTTCGTCAAAATGTCGCCAAGACACTTCCAATTTGACGTGGGAAAAAACCCGAATAACCAAAGACCTACATACAAACACCCGCGAAAACCTCAGAATACACACACACACACGCACACACACACACACATATATAATCTTTCAACTTTGCCTGTTTTTAATTGTTTGTTTTTCAATAGGACACACACACACACACATATGAAGCATGTTTTTAAAGCAATTTAAATCTAGGAGAGTTCTTGGAATAGGAAGAAATGAGCAAAATCCTTCTGCTGAACTCGGTTGAAATTCACTTTTGCATCACAGCCCCCAAAAAGCACAACTTTGCCGTTAAATTTAGGCCTGGGTGCAATTGGTTGTCAAGCACACAAAGACACACCGAAGGAAAAGCCATCCCAATTA